ATGATTACCTCGTTACGGATTCCCCGACACCAACGCACACGAACTATGGTTCTGAAACAACGGTTTTCGAACACCTGAAGACGTCTCAGTCCCGCTGCTAGAACTGGCTAGGTCTAATATCCATGCAACAAAGCAGCCTGTACTCTAGTTTGATGCACACGTCCCTTGAGATTTAGGGGTGTACCGATTTGACGCCATAGGTTTCTCGAATTATCAAACGCGACCCGAGCCTTGAAGATTCGTACATTTACCTGATCTTTTGCACTATACTCAAAAGTAATTTAACGTCCAAGATACGTAAAACGATCCGCAACTTCGAGTGTCTCTCCCAGGATTGTTAGCGGTATGTTCAGTGACTACATATCCAGGAGCACAACCTTACACTTTGTGAGTGCAAAGTGCATATCAAAGGACAGAATGACTTCGGTCAGTTCATCCAAAAACACCTACGCCTTCTCATCTGAAGATGAAGACAGGATTTAGATCGACAGGATTTTTGCCAGAGGCCATTTGAACACTGGGGTTCCAGCGTTCGTCTCATGATTTCATCGATTACAAAATGGAATAAAAATGAAATAAGTGGTCACACCTGACGGACACCACTTTGTATACTCTCAAAAGCCTGGAAGCCTGAAAATATGAAGGACTGGTTGTTTTCACAAACTTCCAGGGCAGTTACCGGGCGAGCGCGTCAGGGAGAACAGACTGGGTGACCGAGGTGAAAGCGCTCTGAAACTCCAGGAGTACCAAAATTGGGTCGTTGGTACGCGCGACGTTGTTCTAGCACCTTGCGAAGTGTGAAGATTTGGTCGAGACAACCCCTACCAGGCCGGGATTCCGCTTACTGCTCCCAAGTCAGGTTTTATGGGTTACCATAAGGTGACGAAGAATAGGTGACTCCAGCAGTCTCTTTACGATCGAGGTCAGGCTTATCCCCCTACTGTTACCACGCTCTCAACATGGCCCCTTTTTTGAAAGTGGACACTCACGAACTCTCCCCACATGTCTGGATCGGTTTCCTTTTCCCAAACAGGCAAACGGATCAGACAAGCACTGACCGAGGACTTCACCCACGCTTGAACAATTCTGGTGGGAAGTCATCCGGACCAGAAGCTTGGTGGCGCTTGAGACCATATGCATTCTTAAACCCCGGAGGCTATAGAGGATTCCACGTTCACCGTCCATGGTTCTACGTCAACTATGGGCTTCAGATGAGTGGCAGAGGTGGTGACGATAACTGTTGTTTGAGGTATTCTGCTCAACAAATGAGGCATTCTTCTTCATTCAAGGTGGTCGAGCCATTCTGACCCTCCATTGTTTCGCTCACAGATGGTTTCCGGGGCTGGTCGCACGGGCATTACTAGCTTTCTGGGCCTTTTCCATTTCTTTGACTTTTCGTGTCCACCAGACTTCATGGTCGGCTCGCATGCTCATTTTCACTTGATGTCTGCTAATTCGTCGGGTGAAGTTATGTTCGAGACCGGCTGGGATATTTCTCCGAGATTTAAGCAGTGTCAGTGTTCGGTCTGATATCCTGTGCTTGGGTGTGCCTCGTAGCGCCGTACCGCAGGCAAAGGTCACAACGTTGTGGAAAGAGGTGGTGATTTCGTCTCAGTATCAATTCACATTTGATGGTGGAACAGTTGGAAAAGACTCCAGAAGACGATTCTGGTAAATTTGTCTATCATCAGGATCTGTCAGTCTCTCACTCACCATGCAATTTTTCCGCACCTTACCTGCAAAACGAATGGAGACGTGACTACGGACGAGCGCCTGTTCGGAATCCACAAATGTGTTCCAAAGCGACAGGTGATCAGTTACTGATCCGAGCTATCGGTAACTGATGATGATCTGATCGATTTGAGTTCGTGTTCGGTACGCTGTTGGGGGACACCATGTGAGCAGAAGTATTCGACTATTTCGGAAGTTAGTACTGCATAAAACAACCTACGATTAGCATATACCCAGAGCAATCATTGATCATTTTTTTCCATTGCACCGGATCCATTCCATGTTAACTTCCTAATCGAGTTTCAATTGCACTAAGCCTTTCCACTTGTGTGTTCAGGTCTCTGGAAACTACAACGATATCTGAGCTTTTGGCTCACCGAAACAGTGCATTCAGGGCGTCATAAAACCTGTCTTTGATGGTGTCGGAGCTACAGTCACTTGGAGCGTAAACAGACATAGACTTCCTTCTTGTGAGACTCTTTCACAGACTTTGCCATACGAATCGCAGAGAAGCGACTATCAGTGGGTATCCAGCCAAGCAAGGATCCTTCCGCCTGGCGACTTAAGACGAAATCGTCCCTTTGTACTTCCTACCGCATCAGTCTGCGCAGTCAAAAGCGAATAGAGAGTGATGGGGCGGTTAGCTCAACCACTGTGTCTGCATCCTGAATTATTGTTTCTGATGCACTACACACATCAATGTCAAGCGAGTCCAGTGTGATAAAAATAGTAGCTTGTTGTCCTGCTTGCTTCTGGTTGCAGACATTGAAGGCAGCCAGATAGACTAGGCGTCGGTGCTTGAAAATTGATCTCGAAATATCTGAGGATGTCGGCGCCGAATGACGCGCAGATGTTTGCAAAACTGATGCAGGGCGAGTCATCAGTTTTAACTGCTGGGCCTACAAGGATAGTTATTAGTGAAGTGGAGAAATGGGGGAGAGAAAATATGAGAAATAGAAAGAAGGGAGGCGTCACCATTAGCCTGTTTTCGCTTACCCGCCCTCCTGTATGCAGCGAGTAAGGCGACCTGGCTGACGGTTTGGCGTGAGTTTATTTGTATGTGTCCCAGCACTGTCAACTGTGGTGGCTCGGCAATGTGCTATGCATGCCAAAACACTATTCACCGAGACCAGTGTTGTCCTCCGTGCCTCCTTCACGATGGCGCGAACCACGAGGTAGACAACGTATGACTTGGCTGAAGGATGTGAAAGAGATTACGAAGAGTTTGGGTGTTGTTAGTGCAGTACCATTTCACGGATGAGGTCCCCGTGCCAGCCCCCCTGCGCTTAGCCTGAGACAGTGCAATAAATCGATGCTAGTGACATTCGTTTTGACAGTTCCCAGGTTATCTGAATGTGCACTTGGAGATATTTTTTCTCATTTGACGATTGTTTGTCTGCTTAAAATGATTCAGGCAGAATATCGGAAGTGGTCCCATGGGTTTTACACCTTAAACTCACGAAGTCGTATTTCGAGGTTTCCCATCGTCTTTTTCTTCCTTGAAACATCGGAATGAAAACCTTGAGTTTGTTGATCCGTTGACTTCCCTTGGCAATTGCGTTAACTGTCGTTATACTGTAACACACGGCGTCAACGCACGGATAATCGAGGCTGCAGCCAATACGTAACGGGTTGTGAGAAATTGGGTACTTGGTAACGCATCCGAATTATCGGGGAAACATAATAAACGTACCAAGTTGAAGTGTTTGCTGCTAGTTGCACGTATACATAACTGCCTTTTACTGAAGAGTAGTTTTATTCCCCATGAGATTGTTGGCGCAAAGTTCGCGGAGCACACGGCAATGTGTAATGAAGGCAACTGCAGCCACACCGAGTGCTGTAGGATATCCGAGCCTTGTTGACCACACAGAATAGAAACTCATGTTCTAATCGGTGTAATATCTTCAAATTCTTCTTTGGCATGCTTCTCATCAACCAGTTTTTTGGTGCGGATGTCAACTTTTTCCCCATCGCATGTGCATTACCTTTTTCATTATGTAACGGATAGGATCTGGTGATTTTTTCTTCGCTTCAGTAGAACAATTCCAGTTCCTTTTCCTGCTTGGATTCTTTACTCTTTCGTTGCTTAAGCGCGTCACCGAGTTTCTTTGTCAGCAAAGATTTATTCATTAGTCTAACCGATCTATACTAACAGCATGCACGAACACGGTACTACCTTAACGCTTTCTGGTGCACATTGTAACGTGCTACCAGTTCACGTGTTTAGGCGTATGGATTTTCAAATGAATGTGTGCTGTCTGTGCTGCCTCATATGGATATGATTAGGTCGACAGCAACTAGGACCCAAATGTTTAATTGGCTAGGAAGTAGTCTAGTTCTGAAAGCACCAGCCGCACGGTTGAACATGATCATTTACATCTATGTATCTTACATTTATATACAGGCTGAGAGTACGTGTTGTCGCAAGAATTTTGGGCTGTATAATCCTCCATGTTTTCTTTTTCATACGGTTGTCGACTCAGTTCGTCGACGAATATTCAGCACTGTCTCAAAGTTACAGGAAGATTAGAGTGGCTATAAAGTTATTATTTATCATGTATTATCGCAGAACCGTGAGTTTTTAGTGACGAACGCTTTGTACACTTGTCCGGATAAATGCGATGGTCTTAGTCTGTGTCCACCCTTGATTTGTTTGTTGTTTCTTCTCTCTGCATACACACTTCATCTGCTACTACATATTACAAACGCAATCTTTCGTCAGATCGCTTGGATTAGATTTCTGGTTCTAAAGTCTAATTGATGTAAACCACGTGTTCAATGATGTTCAGCTGCCTTTAAATATAGTTTACCACTCACATTAATAGTTCTTGAAAGCAAGTTTTTGTAACTAGCAGGAGATACCGTGAGTGTCATGTAAGTGCAATATTCCTTGCCAACCAGCCTGTCTTTCGCTATACAGCTTGCGCGAATCCATAGCCTGGTGGATGAGGTAAACGAGGTTCATAGGTCAACATAGCCCCGCCGTTCGCTTACAGTGCTGCACTTTTACTAAGACCCAATCTCTACAACTGCATTTGTAACTTGACGACCAATTTCCCGCGGTAAATCTACGAACTTCTCTACCCTTTTTTGACTGCGCTCGGTATCAGCTGGGATGTCTCATTGTCCGTGCCGCTCGTGAGAACAATCGTCTCATTTTTGACCGTTTCTAAGCTTTATTGGATATCATTCGGAGTTGTCCTAATACAGATTTTTTTCATCAAATAACAAGATGAAATGCGAGCTTGCTTTCCTTATGATCCGCACAGATGACTGGATGGAGTCCATGTTGGAAGATTCGGTTCTCCGAGCCTTTGGTTCACATCTTCACATCTGTATGGCTTCCCGTTCTTCTGAACTTGCCTACATGCGAGCCTTAGTGAACCGCATTTTGCCACTTATCAGCTATCCTCCGGGATTGGTCACTCCGAGCAGCATCAACGTAGAAAGATTCCTCAAACCCGACTCCCTGAAACACGCATTTTCACAGCTGAAGCGCCCCGCTAGCCAAAGTTCCGCTAGATCATCTTCGATACGACTTGTTCCGGTGCATCGAAGTCTGTCCAACCAAAATCTGCCTACCAGGCAAAGTGAACACGTTTCATTGGGTGCGAATCGGTACGTTCACATTTACAAGTGTGCTCTTCACCTTGGGGATGCATCACAACTCGGAGCATGCGATTTACGGTAGAAGTAGGTCATACCATCAGGTACTCCTGTTAAAACGGTAAGATATTGCCTTAGTGGAAAAGCAAATTTGTGTTTATGTTGGCATCTCTGAGACAAGTGACAGGGAGTTGGCGCTGACCAGTTGCTGTATTGGCTTACCGTTCCAGATCTTTAGTATGGATTACTGGCATCTTGGGTCGTCCCTGAACCAAGAGTACACACAGCACAAACGAATCCCGTACCGTTCCTTCATTTAAATCCACACCTCATTGGTTCATCTATTATCGTGCCCTTTTATGTGTGGTGTCTTAGTTTTACGGTATGATTTGTTCCTGGATCCATTCTCCCGGCTTCTGTGCTATGCACTTGACTTGCATGGATTTTCCTCTAACAGGCGAAGCAGAGAATAGTTCTCTCGAAGAGCATTTCAAGCTGGACCATCCGTGTGCAGCTCATAAAACATGTGGTCAGTATTTGCTACTGACTTATTGCTATCATTGGTGTTAATGTTAATAGTCTCCCGGGATGCATCGTTCGTCTCCCGATTGCCATGTATACGAGGTTCTAGCTTAGATCGCCCGAATTTTCACATCAAGTTTTGCTGAGCTTTTCTCAGTTTCTGTCAGTGCTACTTCTCAGTACGATAAACTCCTTTACTCCCGTTCTCTTCCTTTCACCTTACCTCTCTTTCAGTGCTGCCTACAGCTTCTTGGTTGAGATTCTTTCTACGTGTGTCCTTTTGCCCGCCATGGATGCCATTGCGAATCCCGTAAGTTTATTCAGTCTTCCTGATCTCACTTTTTACATTTTGGGGAAATTTTTCGTAATTGAGTTGTTTGACACTTGAACTGAATTATCAATCCGACGTGGCACCCTTTTGGTCCATTGCTTCTGTGTGATTCGAAGGAAACACCAGAGTACAGTCCTAAACAAGAACAATCACACAGGTCAGGTTCGAAACATGGATCCTGTCAGTAGTCTGCTGCCTCAGCCACTGTGCTATTTCGAGCTCCACTCTAATGGCAAATGGCTGTATGACACACTAGCAGTACTTCATTTTTGTGAGGCATCGCAATGCTAAGTTAACATCGGAGAAAAGAAAGTGTGCATTTTGGTTTATCGCTATTCCGATATTTAAAACAGGGTACTCTCTTAACTCTTCTCAGGCCACCAGGAGCCAGTTTATGTCATCAATAAAAACTGCGGAAAGGTAGCTTGTTTTGCAGCCGCATTTGCGTGGTCATCACCCAGGATGTAGATATGCATCCAATAACCCAATTTACGCCAAGCCCTTGCAGTTTAGAAACAATGATAGGCGAGAGAAGCAACCGCGCTCAATAGGTCTAATGCAGACCGGAACTTCAGCTGCAGATATTGCACATAAAACGCTATGCAGCTTTTTAGTCCAAACTTATCGCCATGGTCATAGATAGTACACTATGCAGTCTGTTATCCAACTTTGTAAGCCATTTCCGAATTTGTCTTTTTTTTTCGTGACGGCTGTGCGTTTTCGGTCCAACGTACAACTCCTTCAGCTACTTTGCTTCCAGCACTGCTTCAGGTTCATATCACAGACCGACGCTTTTGATCCACTTCGCTTGCAACCGCCTTACCTTTGTAAGCCATTCCGAATTTGTCTTTTTTTTTCGTGACGGCTGTGCGTTTTCGGTCCAACGTACAACTCCTTCAGCTACTTTGCTTCCAGCACTGCTTCAGGTTCATATCACAGACCGACGCTTTTGATCCACTTCGCTTGCAACCGCCTTACCTATGGAAGGCACAAGACTTCAAACTGAGTAGAAGAGGATCGTAAATTGGGCCACGTCTTTACATATGTGAATACCTTTGGGAGATCATTGCGAATCTAAGCCGTCAAAGGTGTCTTGATAGTCATCAGCACATCTTTTTTGTGATATTTGATGCAGTTTAAATTCGCGTCTTGTATGGTGTCCATTGTAATTTGCATAATCCGCTGCCACTGTCCGTAAGTCGTGGGCTTTCTTTATCCGGAGCCAGGTTGTCAAATTGTTCCCACCGCGGATTCCCCAACATGGGATGCGTGAATTTTCTTGATTAGATGGACGTTTCATATCTATTTGACCGCATTGTGGTAATGAATTTGCTCTACGAGGTCCACCACTTTCAAAAGTGACTTGCAAGACCCCTATCATCATTCTGTTACTCTCCTATACTTTGAAAACTTGTGTTTAGCAGCGAGTGAAGTGGGCATGCTTGTTGGGACTACACGTGAAAACATATTGCGATCAGGTTATACAGGAAGCATCAGAAAAATAAAGCCCTATCACCTGTTCATTGGTTGCCCACGATTGCTAATTGAAACAGTTCCGCTTGTGCTTTTTGGCCTTTCGGCACGGCTTTGTTTTAATCGTAAGATCAAAAACTCAAAATATCTTCACTTTCTACAAACTCCGATTTTCGTCGATGTTTGTTAAAGTGAGCGAACCGAGCACTGGTTTGATTTCCCTTCACTCATGGGTTTATGTTTGTCAAGTGTTTGGGTTGACCTTGTTCCTCAGTGCCCCCTCGAACAAGGGAACTTAGATTCGGCACTGCGACGAGGACAACAAAGTCGTGCAACGTGACGTTTGGTTTGAAGGTACGGGGCTTGAACCCAACCCAAGCTTCTCGGTTGCTTCTCTCTGTACTTGGGCAGCCTGATAGTATCCCATTCCTCGTGGTTCTTTCGGGTGTATGGCAGCTATGTTCCGAAAAATTGCCACAATTGATCGGTCGTTTTTATTTCCACCCATAAGAACGCATAAACATTTGGTTTCCTGTGAGTTCAGATCTTGTCCCAACTTTCAAAAGTTAAATCCGAGGCTTGGAAAGTTGGAAACATACATAAAGTCGGGCAGTCGTTCTTGTAGTCGTGTTTTTTGCTGGTGAATTCTGGCACCACGCTAGTGTTGTAGGAGACAAGGCAGCACCGGTTATCGACATCGATCGACAACTCACAACCTATGTTAACATATTCCCGATGTCCAATCAAATTTCACGGTTTGATTGTTATCCCAACTTTTGGCTTCTGTCCAGCTTGACTTCCAAATTTAGACCAGCAGCTCACGCTGGTGATCATCTAAGATAGGATGCTTTTTATACCTATTTGAATATGGAAAACTCTAAGGTTGAACTTCCGATTCGCGATAGCCCATTTCGAGTTATTGGCATCTGAGTTAGCGTATTGATGCAACGAAAATTGTTAACGGTCGGTAGAATACATAGTTGCAGCTCACTGACCCCACAACAACTCGTTTACTAGACTACTAATTTTTACTGTTGGCCGATATTGTCATATAAAAACAGCAACCAGCCTGACAACCAGCCAACGAATGCGGGCGTTGTCCACTGAGGATTGTACAAATTCTGAACGATGAAGGCATCACGGATAAATTCAACTTAAGCATAAGGTTGACGGAAACTCGGGGACTACACCCACTTTATAAGCCCCAAGATGGGCGAAACCGGTCGTGGGCTGTCGAAGAATTTTTAACAACCTTATGAATAGCGTATTACGTCTAACTTAATAATCTTTTTCTGCTTGAGCTTGTTTGCTTCAGCGTTGTTTAATATAGACCAAATGTGCCATTGTGACTTACATATCATGCGACGCAACTCAAGTTGAGACCATGCACAGGAGCACTCTCCTTACTGCCAGTCAGCGTAGCTCCTGATGTATTGAGGCCATCATGCTAGGTCATTATCAGGGTAGAATAGCTGAGTGAACAGCATCCACCTAGATCATCTGGAACCAGGCTTGTCGGGTAATTAGCAAGCTGAACCGAAATGACAATGGCACATTCTCCAGTCACCTCCTTTGGCGTTATGATAATCAACCACCCTGAGTACGTGTTTTCATTAGTCAAATGTGTTTGTCCACTTACATCTCTGGTCGAGTCATTTTATGATTTCAGGTTACTTCTTGTTCTTGTCATACTTGTCTCCATTAAGCTGCACTATCGCTAATCGGCTTCGCGTTTCCCACCCTTTATCACAGGATCTGCTCAACAAGTTCATCTTGCTCTATTCTCAACCGACTGAAGTAAGTGTTGCCAGGAGATTTTCTCATTTTCGAACATTTACATCCACTTTTTCGTCCTAATCTCTCTCCAATATACTTTGGACACTTTAGAGTTCCCCTCTTGGTGATACACTTGTCCTCTCCCCACCCAGAGTTGGTATAAAAAAGATGGTGCATCGTAAGAGGTGATCTTATCAAAAGGTGACAAATGTAGTTATTTTGTTTTTTAGCCGTTAGAGTTATCTGGCTGACCTGAGATCAGTTTCCTGTCATTGGGAGATTGGACCTTACTCTGACGAGATGATTTGTGTACTATTGTGTGCTATACTAGGGGTATCTGTGTGATACTTGTGACACTTCTCGTCTTCGAGGAGTAGAAAAGGTGCAGGTGTTTTTGAATGAACTGACCAAAGTCATCCCGCACAAAGTGTAAGGTGATGGACTTACAGTCGCCTAAAGCACCACTAACAATCTAGGGACAAGCAATCGAAGTTTTGGAGCGCTTCAAATGTCTTGGAATTTGTATAGGTTCCGATTGTAGTATGAAAGGTGAGATAAATGCACGAATCTGCCAGACTCGGGTCGTGTTTGCTGATTTGACACACCTATGACATAAAGTGGCATATCTCTGAATTTCAGGGGCTGAGACAGCGGCACTGAGACATCTTCAGGTCTTGTGGGTGCTGTCGACGCGACTCACCTTCCAGAATGGCGTTAGCGTGATCTTCCCTGCGCATGATTCGAGACGCTGCAACATATGGCTGTTGACCGATATCAGTAACCTCCTTGTTGTCAGCTTCTATTCCGATTGCCTGAATGGGATTTTGGAGGCCTGGGCACCTCAGAATGTGGTAGGGGAGTAACAAATCCCTTACTCCTCCAATTTTACCACATGGTGTTCACTAAAAGTATCACCAAACTCCTGTGTATCAAATTCTAGAAGACTCTATAGACATATTCTCAGTAGAACCAGTCCTGTGCCGGTAGGTATTTAGACTCAGGATGGCAAGGTCTTATGCACATGCATGTGCGCCTGATTTGCACGCATGTACAGCTTATCATATGTTTCATTTCTAAATCTCCTCTGCTGTGACTATGCCCTGGATGGATGCTACTGACTCATGCACTCCGCTTGAGAATGATGTATTTGCAACTTGGAGTTTTCGGTTTGAACGCACTGTAGTTGTCTTGAACCTCAAGTAATTCATAGTTCGGTAGTCACATGACCACTCAATTTCAAATCCTGGCATTCTGTGAACAGTCAGACTTAATCCACTTCTAGCATAAGGTAGTTGAAAAATGATCTGTTTGAAATTCTTGCTGTCCACTGCCGGCTATTTTGAGTATGCCGAATGTTGATAGGGAACAAATTGAATGCGCATGAAGTGTTGAGTTTACCGGAAGAAAGCTAGATTCAAATTCGCGCACTACGCCTACTCGAACTGAGTGAAACCGGCAATGGATGGCTTTCAGTCGATCCTCAGAACAATACCTACGATGGGTTTGTTTTTTCCTTGTTAAAGAAACTGCTTCCTTCAGATGGAGATTATTGTAATCCACCGGAAATAACATTTCCACTAACTGATTAGTAGTTTGAGTTGATTTTCTGCACGTAACTGCCAACTCTGTTTTCACCTATGAATACAACTCACTGTAATCACGACCTAATCCGTTGAGGAAACATTTGGGCGCACCTAGATGTTTCCTCGGTGGACGAGAGTACCATGGTCACTTATGCACGCGATTCAGCCGTGACTATGCATCCAGAAAAATCATCTATGGGCATTTTCTTTTAACTAGTATGTTCTCAGCTTCATAAGACATGGTGGCAAGTTATAAAAATGTGCCTTCGGGAACGACATAGTTGGAGTTAGGTGTTTTGGGAGGTGTATTACCGTGTGGCCTCTGTTGCGAAAACCCCACCTGCAGCTTTCTCGTTGAGGTGTTGGTACTAAGGCGAAAGACTGGAAGCCGATGTCAGGTTCCTTTGGCTATCTCTGTAGAGTAACTGGCTGAACATCGTTCCCAAACGAACGGCGGTAACATGAATCAGCTCTGGTCGACTAGACTATGAAGTTACCCTCAGAATGAAGTTTCATTCTGGTGGTGTTCATCTAGTGCTCCCTGCGAGTCCTCTACGTTTCGCGTCGCAGTTGGATGTGCTTAGGCTGAAGATGCACATTCAACCAGTTTCCAACTGGTGCTGAGGGCATTCTTTGCATCAGATTCGTGTGAAACTCCACAAAAACGACTTGTGCCCTCCAGGTAAGCCAAAAGCAAAGGGACAGGTGCCCCCCACCAATTGTTGTTTTATGCCCTCGTCGAAACCACTATCCACTTGCTTTTATGCATTTGATGGTATACAGCAGAATGAATGTTGTGCAAACTGACTGCGTATCATTTGAACCATTTCATACGTCCAGTGTTATCCGGTTATGTCTGCCTAATCATCTCACGAAGTTTCTTCAGTCCCTATTTCAATTTCTACTATTTTTCACTGTAGGATTCAACCGACTGTCTCATCGAAGCCACGCACGAAGTCCCGGTTTTGAATACTTACGTTCAAGAGTGGGAGCAGTGGATATCAGAGAAAGTGAGTCAGACGGTGACGCTCCTTTTTGTTTCGTTATATGAGTTTCTACGCATTGTCATGTTAAAAATGGTCCAATGGGGACTTCATTCTGTCAGTGAAGATAATCTATGCTGCAAAACCGAGAAGCACTGAACAGCTATTTCATCCGTCTTGAGAATCGCCAGCAATGCGCATCTCACGAAAGTCAGAGAGCTTCGAACCCGCAACCCTCCGGCCATTGGCTAGACACTTTGGCCACGAGTGGCTGATCAGCACTGTGATTAACTCTCACTTAGACAGGGTATAGCGTCACTCGCCCTTCAATAACGGCAACCACATCACATGGTCATGTAATTAGTGGCTCGTTCAGGGATAACTTCTCAGCTTCACAAACTCTCTGCCTCCTCCACATTTTCCTGTTCACATTGGAATTTTGGTGCTAATTAGATCCACACACAACTGGTGTTACATAATCCTTGCTCGAACGGCCTTTCTATCTGGATTTCAGTGGTAGTGCCATGCAGAGTTGGCTCTTTGAGCTATCTCGCCCCCCGACCTCTGAAAAATCCCCTTGATAAACAGAACCTTGTTCATGACATCCTAATGTCACGATGAATGATGACCGTATCGTCTGCCCCCCTTGGAAGCACATCTCTTCTGCAGTGGTACTGTTTTGTTTTCTTGGTGTATTTCGTCATTGTATTGATGATTCCACAAGGGTGAAAGTGGACTGGGTGCGGGGGTTAATAGGTTCTCTGGATCTGTCATGAGGAACCCAACTGGGAGCTCCGGGTTAACCAGACAGGGAAAACGTAGCCTTTTCGAGACTGCTCACGTGCGTCAACTGTGAATATTCTCGTTAACGTCCAGTTGATCTGAACATAGTCCTAAGGTGTGCATTCACTGTGCATGTTCACTGCCGTGCTGCTACCAGTATTAGTTTTTCCTCTACCGTTTTTCCTCATGGTTCTCTGTTTCCAGCCGCCTGTCACCCTCCAGTTGGAACGCCTGTTGCGAAACCAGGAGGAATTCCATCCTTTCATGCAGTACATGAAGTCCATTAAATCTGCTGCGCCACTGATAGCTGTGTTTCTGATAAGTAAGTATCCATTGTCGTGACATGTCTTTCCAAGTCTGCTCCAAATCATTTGGATCGTTTTTCAAACTTTCTCTCAGTTCACTGTACCGCTCATCGTGAGATCTTGGACTTGCGTAATCCAAGTCGGCATACCTTATTCGCGTATATCTGTGCCACTTCAGTTAGTGGCTTCCAAGTCTAAAAAAACCGTTCAGCTGTAGCACTTTTCCGGTGCCTAGCTGCCATACCATCCGAAAGAAGCACGAGGGCTGGGATACTACCAGGTTGCCCAAGCCTCGACCCGGGCGTCCAAGTCTAGGCTTCTGTGATGCAATATACCAACTCGTATCCCCTAGCATACTGCGTGTGTGCGTTACGCGAAACAAGGCATTCCCATTTGCTTTTCCTTGTTACTCGGTTATTTGAATTGTAAGGTTAAGTTCATACACTTGTCTCAGGACGCTTTCTTAGACATTGTGAATGCGGCGTAAGTTCGGACTAGCAGCTGCTGAGTCTAGTAACCAAATGCAGTAGCATGCCGATCGCCGTCACCGTAGTGTATTTAGTGGGCGTCGATACGGGATCACTTAACAATCGGATTGATTTGAGAAATTTCAACGGTAGCTAGAGAGTGGTAGTAATTCACTGTCGCTGCATATGAGTAGGGCGGCTGTTTTCCGTAGAGCACGGGCTAGTGGTAAGTCTCAATTGGGAACATCGCTATCCAACCAAGGACTCCAGCTGTTGAGTAAACTGATGATTCATCACTTAAGTCACCTACGGGGACTCTGAACCGTCCGGGTTAAACTTTTCTCATCCCTGTTTCCTAATGATTTGATTGTTTGTCTTCTTCAGTTTTTGCTGCAGATGGATTCAACGCGAACTTAGTGAACTCGTTTACTCTCCCGGGATTTAGAACGCACTTTTATCTTTGGTGCCCTTCTTATTTGATTAGACTCAGTCTCTGCTTCTTCTGGAGCATTATAAATGTATTCCCGTTGATCTTCCCAAGTGTTTTCCTAAGCGTTCTATGCACTTCCGATTCCGTATTATTGGATTTGGTTATAATTTGTCTGTCTTTTCCTCGTTCATGAACGCCAGTATCTTTGCCTCGTTCAGACTTCGACATTGATGAGTCGGGTACTATTCCTGGATTCATTCAGACCAACAACCGATCAGCTCATCTTTGGAGCTGATAGAAGTTGTTGCTGTGTTGCAACTTACAACTTGTGTCAACTATGGAGGGTCTCTGAAAGTCTACTCTTCAGACATTTGTGACCTGTAAGACGTGGCCACTTCGGGCGGAAGATGTGGGACTTCCTCAGATATTTAACCACCGATGTCCGGGCACTTTATCTGAAATAAGCTGTAATCAGTTAATTCGCAATAGGTGACCGAGAAACGGGAGGTTTGTAAAGCAGAAGGTGATGCACTCGGGGACTTCATCCAGTAATTCAAACCAAAATGACTTTCCCAGTTATCTTTCAGGAAAGTTCAGGAAGACGCGTTCAAGAGAAGATGGGTATACAGTTTTTGTAAACATGATGCATATGAGAGTTTTACTTCCCTGTTCAGCCGGCATTTTCTAATAAATGACTCCGCAGCGAAGGCCTTCTTCCTTTCACTGGTACCCCACGTCCTATTCTGGATATCAAAACGCATTGCATTTTCAGGATCGCAATTTGATCTGGCACTACCCACATACGACTATCCTTGTTCAGCGTGTTGATCTCGCTACAACTGTTTACGTCTCAGCAGAAGCGTGGATTGCATTGTATAGTTAAAATGATGGCTTAACTAGGAGACTTCATGTCCTGATGACACAATGGATAGTAAACGTTTTGCTTGGATCGTCTGAGGTATCATCCGGCTGACCGTTGCACAGCTTTGTATGCCACAGTTTTCTGGCCCTAATATCTATTTCTCTGTACTCTTGGTTTGACTATTTTTAGAACTAAGACAAACAGGTTCCATTGTTTCCCCGGCACAGATTCGCATCATCGATTGAATCACAATCTAGGAGGTACATTATGTTTACTTCGCATTGTGTTCATTCGTCTCAAGCACTCAACCTGAGTGCACCAAAAGCAATTTGACAGGTTTTCAAATGACCGAATGAGTGTGATTGCAAGACGATTGTCTAACCCCATGCTGTCTGGCCTTAGTATGTGTAGAACGTGGCTAACTGCATACAGATGCCCTTGTTTCAAAGTATTGGGAACCAAAACCAGAAAACCAATCGTTGAAGCTGTTGACTTGTTGGTGAACAACCACATTCATCAGCTATCTAATGATAGCTTAATCCAAGCCGGAATTCTTTTCCGATATCTTTGTCTCCCATTTTGGTTTTTTATTTCTTCATTTGTACACTTTTGTGAGTGATTTTGAATTAGGCCGTTTTGAAGAATCCGAGTGTAAGAGTTGTTGTGACTAAGAAGTCCCACTCCTCTGAACGGTAAACGCTCTGGTCTGCATTCCGTTAGGCATGTCAACTTTTCGAACAAATTTTCTTACATTTCAAGTTTTTGAGGGTTTGCTGGTATTTTCGATGTTTCGTAAGATCTGGAAGGTTCTCCTCGTAATGATTTTCCTCTGAACACTTGGTGTTTATGTGTACCCTCATCCTCATCAGGTAACATCAATCGACGCGTCCTTCGTGACCCTCTTCCGCCGGACACTTGTCGCGAAATTCGATCCCAAGTTGTTCACCTTCTATCACTTGTGCGCGATTCAGTGAACCTTGATACAGATCACCGTAGTCCTACGACGGGAGGAGAGGAGGAGGATACCACCGAGCCACAGCCGGACCGCAAAACTCAGAATCCTCGCCTGTTTGCTTTGTCAGCTGAGTTTGAGAACCTTTTGACGGACTTTTTAGCCGAACCTACTGATGCAGATTCCCTGGATGGACTGGTTCATTCCACGTTGTGGAGAGAGTAAGTTCCGTTGTTTTGTGCCAGAACTAACTTGTGGAAGTTTGACAATCCTTCCTCCTTCTCCAGGAGCTGATAAATCTATTGTGTTAAAATGCGCAAACTGTGGTTTTCGAGTGTATTGTTGTTGGCGCTCAGGAGCTTCATCAGTGAAACCAAGTGACTGGACATTTTACTGTTGCGTCTCATATTTTCTGGCGGTTAGAACGAAACATGATTGCCCCTGGGGTCTAGTCAGATGTAGCTCGTCTGTTTACCCCTCTAAAAAGCTAAAAACTCAGTTTTACTGGATTTAGTACCGTGGTACAGTGGCATTCTTCCTGTCTTCTCGGTTGGGTCAAAGTATTCAAATGACTGTTTAAACTGAAGTTGTTCTTTTGGCGTATTCATCAAGGCATTGGTCTGGTTTGGCGATAAGTCTTCAAAGAACTGTATTTTCTGAGAGGACGATGGACGGGCGCTGATACGTTGAAGCTCTGTAAGACGTGTACTGCACGCAACTCTGCCGAACTAATACATGAGTGCCACTCATTTCTGTCGGCTTTGTAGCACCTCATCACTCCTGATGCAATCAGACAACACACGGGGAATGGTCTGTCATTTCCTTTAGTAGTGTCAATGATCATTAACCTCTGGCTTAGAAAAGACAAATCACTTTGACTTTGACTTCGTCTTGATATTCCAGCGTTAATGAATTCAACGTGATAAAGACACCTTCCTTCCTGATGTCGGAATATTTTTGTCCGCTTTGCCGAATTGATTTTTTGGCGAAAGAATTCCGTCTTCCAGACAGTCTTCGAACTATATTTGGCCAATGTACTTCAAAGCGTTCTCAATTCTTTTAAATCAAACCTATCTGAGAATGTTGCTTCTGAAGCTTTGGTCAAACTTGAGGTGGCCTAATGGCCAAAGTGTTTTGAATCCTTTGTTTATGCCTTTTACGCCACGGAGAACGAAATCCGTATCACGTTTCCTATGTAGTGCTCAAAGGATGTCACAGCAGACCTTATAATGGAATAATTGGCCGATCATTAAATGAATTCCTTTCATAAATGCGTCTGACTACCACAAAGAGCAGAGTAGAGAGGATGAAGGGGCCATTTCACTCTCGCAAACAGTGTGTGCAAGTCTCAGACAACGTTTCTGGGCACCGGCGTAAGGAGGGCTACTCGAATGGATTTTCGGGCTCTTTCGGTGGAAGTGAAAGTCTTTTCTATGTGAACCACAGGAAACAAATGAGGTGTATAACCCTTATTGTCAATTGATGATGAAACACTGAAGATTTCTCACCGTTTGCGTATCCGTTATAAGTTGGGGTACATACTCACTTGGATAGCTTAAGTTAGGAGTTTGCGTTTTGTTGGGAGATGTTCATCCTTCTTGGTTAGAATGCCACTACCGATGGTTGAGCTGTGTAGCTGGGTCTTGTCCGACCCTCTTATCATGAATAGCTTGTGTTTTTCATCCATTTCTTCAACCATCCTAGCTGGACGCCATAATTGTTGCTCCTGCAACGCTGTGCATATCTAATACTTGCGCTGTTCTAGATGCATGTGTTCTCGCTGTGAAAACTCTCACGCAGGTGTGCCATGTATAGTGTCCATAACACAAGGTCGTCATAGCAGCCGTTCTGTATCGGTTGCTACTTTGTCAAATAGGAACTGGGAGAAACGAACAATAGGCTAGTGGTATCTTGTCATGGAGCTGAATTTTCGGCTTCTAACCTCGGTTGGGACAGTCCATCCAGGAGTCATTTGTTATCTATCTGTTTGATTGTCCTAGGGTCTTACCATTTTCTTGTCGTTTTCAACTGTGTTGATTGTGGTTGTACGGCAGCATGGTATCAGTTTTGAACACCGATTTTGTGATTGGTTCGGTGATTGGTTAGAAGACGAGTTCCTGAAAGCGTCTGTCCGTCAGCTTGTGTTAAATGAAGCTTTGTGAATTTACTCTACTACACATTTTCGGTCTAACGAATCTCTAGAATGGTGACAAAAAGTATGCTTTACTCAGGTTAAGATTTGTCTGTTGCCGATTGCAGGGTCTATCGAAGGCATTACTCAAATGTAACCAGGTTACTCGGGTCCAGTTATACTAACGCTTTAAATACACAATACGTGTTTGTCACTGAATGCATCTACTGCAGCTTGCGACGAATTCCAACCGTTTTTGTGATCCCAAATGCGCCGAGTCAGGAGACACTTTTAAATTGCTACTATTGTAATTTGCATATTGTTCCTCCTGTCGCAAAGCCTCTTTACCCTGACGGGAAGGCGCATTGCGAACCTCAGAAGCATCATTGCTCGCAGCTGCTCGTTTCAAAATTCCAGATTTATCAACGCGCATTAGGTCAATGAACATCCTCCACTGGTTTGTTTGGTATTTCGTGTAGAGCACCGTTTCGGTAACTTGGAATCTTGTGGGTTTTGTGCTGAACCATTCGATTTGACATCATCCCATCCCTCAGGATGTTATTCACTGCAGTTACAATTGCCTACGCTTGGTATTTAATGAAGCGGGATGCGTATTACAGTTCCGTCTTGATGAGTCGTTTGTCTTAGGGTAATTTATGTACCTCATGCTTAGTCGTTCCAATAACTTTTGTGGGCGCTTAAAGGTATTTTGGAAATTACCGGTCTCCCAAAACTACCGTGCACCTAACTTAATTTGACGACCATTGAGCAGGGTGGCAATCTTCACAAGAATGGTCTTCATTCGAGCAAGAACAGGATGCTAAGTGCGATTATAACGTCGTTTCAGTTCACACAAGTTTAATTAGGGTTTTTATATAATTGGCCTCTGTCGATCAAGTGGTCTAGTAGGTTTGATCAATAATCCCAGGTATTTACCCATTGTACTAAAGATCTAAACTGGCTCATTAAACCAATAGGCCGGTGTTCTTCGGGGTTCCCCTGTTTCTGCAGTAGCTACCCATCACACACGATTTAAAACTGTTTTGTAATCGAATGTACACGGTCTGTACCACATAGCTCGGATGTCACGTTGTTCTCTCCCTTGAAAAGGAAATACGTAATCCTTGTGGAAAGCCTAAATCCAGTGAATTTAATCGTTCTGTAATGTATTTGTGGGTTTCGACCGAACCACCCTCGATTTGAAACAGTCGTCGCGTGTTGATGTATTTCTCGCCGCTCCTTTTTGTTTGTATAGTGCATATCATACAGCGTCGCGACAGATCGGTCTACATTTCCTACCCATGTATCTGGAGAGTCCAGAATATTTGGCGCATGTTTTTGGTCCATCCTGGTTTTGTCTGCCCGACCGACCACATACACCAGGGTGAGTTGTATATGCATTGCATGCGGCTCTTCATAGTTTTTTTTTACTGTACAGTTTGCTTCATTGTGTGGTGATCTTGTACTTCACCCGGTTGTTCCCGTGCTCCAGAGTCTACAATGTTTGTTCATTCCGAGAAACCTCAGCTTATTGAGTTGATTTTCTCTTTGGGGATGACACTCTAACCGCCTATCGAATTCCAATGGCACCAACTGTTTGTGCATTTATTCCCTTGGGAGGACAATGCTTATTTCATATGTTAAACCTCCTGAAACCCATGTTTTGGACCTCGTTCTTCCCAACCTTTAGGCATGTTATTCACGCTTATTTTCCTAAAAACTGAAATCACACAGCAAACAAGTCCACAGCTGGTCTCTATCGGTAGCAGTAGACGTGCATATTTGCCTGGTCTTATTTTCATCCAATTTCATTAGTTCATGATGCGCTTTGATACATACAGCTGCTTAATTAGTGTTTATCGCTGCCCATCTTGTAGTTCCTCCAGACGTGCATCACAAGCGGAACCTAACAGTCGGTTTGAAAATCCATTGAAAGGCATGTTCGCGGGTCACACCGGTATGCACACTTATTTTATGAAATTGTGCCTGTACTGTTTTTTTCATATATATGGGATCGGGTGGGTTTTTTGCCTGACACGACCTGACTGTTGTTTTGTCCATGTGTCATTTTTAATACTATTTCAGCATTTCCAGCAGATCGCTTTCACCTCGTTCATTTGGCTGTATCACCCTTTCGGTGCCTAACTGCCATGTCACCCGAAGGTTGCACGAGGGTTGGGATACTGCCAGGTTGCCCAAGCCTAGACAGGGGAAGTCGGAAGGCAGAGGTCGGGTTCGAACCATGGACCTTCCGACCAGTAAATTTGAGCTTTAACCACTTGGGCTATCTCGCCCCCTCACTTTCCCCTCACTGTCTTTATGCTCTCTTGAACATGCTTCTGTTTGTCTCCCCCATTAGGAACCAGACGAAGTCGTTCATTTCTTGAACATGTTTCCACTTCACTTCAAACATCAGGTTAACAGTAAACGGTCAACTCGTCATAATAAGCAATTTGCTTTTCTTGTCTCAGAAAACGCGAGTAGGCGAAACCAAGTATGTGGTTGTATTTGGATTCCCCCCCCCCCTGACCCTGGGCAGGACGAACAAATGTGTTCATAATAACCGTCCGGTGACGGCAAAACTATAAATGGTGGCTCACCTATACCATTTGCCCAAAATTGCACGCTAACTGTGGGCTACGGAAGCGTGAGCAAAGCTCGTTTGTACGCCCCCATGGGAATTCGAACACATGTTTCATCGCTTGACTGCTTCGTAGGTGGTTTTACGCAACCGTTTTTGCCAGACAACTTGTACGTACTAAAATACGTCCAATCTAGCGATGGTTACCAAATTTTTCTGAGAACAGTGTCCAATCTATGTATCGTCGATCTTTTCAGTTACGATTCACCTTCTCGTCGTTCTTCGTTGCTGATCCTTTCCATTTGAGGTCAAAGCGTGTAGCTGATGCCGTTCAAAGCAAACTACATCCATGTACTTTCCAGAGCAATAACAGGCAAGGCTCAATGATCTGGATAACTTAGTCAACTCAGGTATCCAATTGAGGCCGTAGAAATCGAGTATCCCAACCAAACCATCCATCTGTAACACCGCTTTTTCGGAGTCTTTAACACCCTGTCCGTCTCTTGTGAACACCAATCTTCGGGAATACGTAACAGTCTGCTGTAACCTAACGAACGTTCATATTTTCAGGCTTTCTGGTGTTTATTTAGCCAGGACTAATGCCAGTTTTTCGAAATGCGTAGTCAGACGATTATTTGTGAAGCGGCCGACTTAATCGATGCGTTTTTTCAGCGTGCTGTTGACAATCGTCCCGAGGTTTGATCCTACCTATATACCTTACCGGTCTCACATTCCAGCAGGTACCGTTCGGCTGTCGACCAGTCCGGTCAGTCGGCAACTTGAGAAAATGGGCTCGCTCTTGTCACTTACAATATTTGTATAGCTAATACACTCAGTGCTTACCGATTCATTTCAGCAGAAACATGACCACGTGCACAAAAGATCAAGCTTACGGCTTCCCCGCTATTAGTAGCTGGTTGCTGCATTAGGCTTCGCACCTTGTCGGTTTGGCATCCAGTTGCCACTGAATTATGGGTGATAAAATACAGTTGGTTGGTGTGACGATCGCATTTATACACGACGGCTTTCGTTTGTTGCTTTGGGGATTGCCCACTGGTTAAGACGCGGACTTACTAACTGGGAGGTCCGTGGTTCTAACCCAACCCCAGCAATTTGACTGCCTCTGTTCAGGCTTGGGCAGCTTGACAGTAACTGAACCCTCGTGCTTCCATCCGGTGATATGGTAGCTGGGCGCCTAAAGAGTTTTACAGCTTGACGTTTATTATTTTCTGTAGTATTTATATGGGGTAAACAAAGTTTAGATATCGACCTCGACGGCGGGCAAATGAAACTTCTTTTGACCGTAACTGCGACGACCAGTACCTCACAGGTTCAGTTATGTGGGCAAAAATATCCGGAGAATGTAACTGTTACTTTCGTTTACCACTGAACTCGAACGGAGGCATCAAGTCATATTTTATCATCATCATTGTACATTCTTTAATGTTTCATTTTATTCCATCTCGGGTTCTGAGTCCACTAATCCGTTACAAGCCATTGAATACCAGGCCAGACGTGTTGGAGAAATTTCAGGGCCACTCTAGTGTTCACTGATTACTTTGTTGTAAGTGTTGCATGTGTAGGGTTAGGGACCGAAGTGTTTTGGTATCCGCTGAACAATCTGAACAATAATGGACACGTCGAAATGACTCATCTTCGGTTCCTGCTGCGTATGTTAACTGAGTGACATGTTTTTGCGGAGTTTGCTTCGCTGCCCATGCTGTTTTCTTCAAAATTTTGCGTGACTGACAAGCATTCTGCAAGCACTTACACTGAAATGGTTCAAACGACCTGTCCTGTCGCAGCCGTGTGGTTACCTGTCTGACGACTGAACACCAATCGATATGTGGGCAAACGATCACTGTTGTCGTAGTGAGACACTAGCAAACTGGGCCCACAACTTTATTTCATTCTCCCATTGCCTTGTTCTGATCTGTGCGCGACTGTGCCGTTTCATTACCTACGACAAAACGCGAGCATGCGTACAGTGTGACTGTTGTTTTATCCGCAACGAACGAATCTGACACATGGTCGGAGCATAAATTATATGAAAAACTTGATATGTTTTCCATAAATTTGCCCTCAATTTTGTGTTAATTTAGCGCATAATGAAGATTATCCAGAGGAATCTTTTGTACATATACCCGCTTTGCTGGTAGAGAAACCCAGGAAGCGATCAACTTCTTCATATCATAAACTTGATTTATTTAACCTCTGCGTAACGTTTCCATGTTCGCTGCTAGAAGTCGGTGGACTGTTTGGTTTCCTTCACAAGCTTCTCTCATTTGGGATGTTTTTCCCTTACAGTACTTTGTCATTTCAAGCCCGAGTCCACGTTCAGTTTTTTGATGCTATCTTCGTTCCTCCCTACACTAAAGACTGAGCATTCTTTGGGAAGCCTTATCTCGAAAAATACCAATCTGTAAGCTTTACACAAGTAACTTTAGTCGCAGAGTAATTTGTCTAGATGTTCCACCGTACTCTTCAGTTGACCCACGTGGTTCCTGTCACCACAAACTGTTATGCTAAGGCCAAAGGCTTTTTCGTCTTTTTTGGCGGATTGGTTCTCTGCGTTGAAAACCGTGCATGCCATGCGATATTCACGTCCCGTCTGTCTTGACGATATGATTAGCTCCACACAACAATTGTGCTCAAGTGTAGAAATGGGAGTTTAAGCCCCAGGTTCCGATTGGACAGCTCCGCGTTTTGGGATGTTGGAAGAGGAAGAGTCGGAGTGTCTGAGTAGTTTTTCTCTCGCTTCTGATGTCCGATTCAACGTAGCATCCCCTCCCTTAACGAGCCATACCTGTCGTATCCGCTTACTTCGTGGCTTTTTTTGACCTATATTGACCTTCAGCCGAAAGGAGGAGAAAGAATAAGCTTGGAGGATATCTCACTCGTTAAATCCCACGAACAGTGTCTGACATCAAGCTCTCAGCACATATTTGTCTAGCGTTTGTATCAGTGTTTGATTCCTAGTAACGCGCCACACTGATGAGCGCTGTCGTATTTCAGTCTCTCCAAAGAACACCCGCACTATGGATGAGGACTTCACATCTCATTGATTGAAGTATATTTGCACGGCCTTACTGGACTCACACATGCAGCTTAGCGTTCGTTCGAGATCTGACCGCTTCCTGTCTTTGAACGCATGGATTATAGGAGACACTCTCTAGTTGCAGAATGAATATCTCGTTCATCAACAGGTTGACACCCCTACAGCGAAACACCTCTGACTGGTTAAGGGCACCAGTCGGCGAAATCAATATCTAAATTAGAAGTTTGATGTCTCACTTAACTTACCTATTCATGGATCTGAATTTCATTTGCAAAACTGAGAAGACCCTTCTTGCCAATTCAATACGGATTGAATCTGTGACCCTTTAGAAACCAGCTTTAGTGGACCTTCCTAATTAGTTTCTCTCCTCAGATCAGTTGGTACGGAACAGTCGATTCTCCCTCGCTTTGTTGTCCTGGTTTCTAGCAATTCCTAAGACAGTTTTTCTGCAGTGTTTTGACCTCCTAAGTAGTTGCTACTGGAAGATGTGATAATAATACAAAAGCAGTCCGTACTTCAAATAGATGCCTTTTATAGGACGCCTTGATGCGTTCTGAGAGCTTCTTTTGCACATTGGTTGTTATCTCATTTTAGAAGAATTTGGTTTTGCTAAAGTTGCCACGTCCTGGAGGGAGTATTGCATGTTGGGATGTTGCTTACTAAAGCGGCGGTTGTACATTTGTTAATGCTCTAAGAGGTCCCGAGAGCTAGTTATACAAACAAAAAAAACTGCGAGCATTAACAATATCAGCTTGCTGAGGAAAAGTTATTACAATAGTGTAAAAAATGAACAAAGGGACTTATCGTATTGCCGATTCGAGTTGATAAATCCTTTTGTGAGTACGGATGCAGGTTTCGTGTTTTCTGTGCCGTTGTAGTGGCCCCACGTAGTCCTGAATATCCGTGAGTGAGGCGTCGTAGTTCCAAGCGGCTCTACTCCGAGTTGGGTGACGTGCGAAGCTGCGTTGAGTTGTGTTGTATTGTTGTGGTGTTGTCCTATATGTAGGAACGTCTGTGTGTGCGTGGGTGTCAGCACAAGGCTTGTTGCTACCGTATCAGACGGTAGACAGTCGATATCGGATGAGTCACCCTTGTGTATCGTGGTTTGTACGTGTAGGGGAAAAAACGAGGTCTTGGGATCTAGGGCTTGATTGTGAGCTGTGTAGTCAAGTGAGTCACGGTTGTGTGGCTTGATTTGTGAGTGCGTGTGGCGGTGACCTGTACAGTCATGTATGCGGCGAAAGGGTAGCTACACATTTTTTCGTGACGCCACTTATATGATTGACTCTCTACGGCCCGTCTGGTTTCTGACAACTGTTCACAACAGTTTCCTCTTGCTCTTTTCCATAACCTTGCGGTTAAGTTACATCAGTCGCACAGCGGATATTGAGATGCTAAGCGTTCCAATAAGTAATAAAGTCGGATACATTGTTAGAATTAGATGGGATTCACATTTCCGTATTTACTTGACGATTTTCCCATCTTCAAAATTCAAGAATCCCTTGATGGTTTCTTAAACACATAACCACTTTGTTTGGAGCTTTTGCACTATTTACTTCATCTTTTACTTTTAATACTCTCTTCTTCACCCAGTAGAGGGACGAGTTTTGTACAGTCTTGGTTCAGACAGCAATCGACAACCCATGAAGCTTCCAAACCGCCAGACAAAATCGTCATCTCAAGGATTAAACCATCGCACTGAGACTCTTTTGGTGCAACCACACTGTATAAGTTCCCACGGAGATGGACATCATCAGCTCCGTTCTCATTATATGCTTCAGTCACGTCGGATTGACCTCTCAGACTGGCGTGTCTATATTCCCGGTTTATCTCGCCCAGAAGTTGCTCCTGGGAAACGCTTGATTGATCAACTTACACAAGGAAGCAATCCAAGGAGTGACAGTCCTACGCGCCGCGCACAATACTCAGCCAGACCGCATGATGCGTCATTCCGGAGCAAAATTACCGACGAATTACAGAATTTGCATGCTTCTTCGAATGCACAGCGTATGCCACAGCTGTCCCCGCAGTTCTTGTTCACCGTTCGCACCGAGCGTGTGGTGCGAGGGGTGCGACAGACGATTGCACGAGTTGACAGGTATGTAGTTTTGTGGGTACGTCTTTTGTATGCGGTGGTCGTTTAACACGTAGCGATCGCCACTAAAATCGAACTTGTAAAGCGTAAGTAAAGTGATCGGAATTTGACTTAATACTCCGCATTTCATTTTTTAGACGAACAGACCGGTGAATACTTGTGCCATTCAAGCAAGTATCATAGTTTCGCACACAGACGGACGTCAGTGATAAGCGGAAAGTTCAAAACGATTCCAACCCAGGAGCTCCGTTTTCCCTTAAGTAGGGGTTTGTATTGGTTCACTTACTTAGAGCCCGATTATCCCATCATGTGCTAGCTGCAGTCAAGTAAAGCGGTGAACAAATTGGGTGCAGTCTTTCCATCTCACCGAATACCAAAATATACACGTTCTTTTGCGGCTCGGGACTGTGCTGCGTTAAGTTTTATATGTATACAAGACGAGAAAGCGTACTATCTTAGTACACAATACAAACAAGATGTGCATGAAATAGTCGAGTGCATATCGTGATCCTGTAACCGAATCCAAACAACTCAACCTAGGAACTTGAATTTGTGATCTGCAAATGTGACCTGTGTGGTTTAAACAGCTTTCCCTTTGGAGAACATTGAAACCCGCCTTCCATCTCTGCTTTAAACATCGATGACACTTGGTTTGGACCCTAATATAGAAAATAAACGGTTTGAAATGTAACTTATTGTTTATCTTGCCATTTACCATAGCAACTTATGTTCTGTGAAGCATACGCCACCTGTGGCAATGAGACATTCTAGTTTCCGACCAAAAAGCGGTGGTTATTTCCGTCATTTGCCGTCCGGCAAAGAAACAAGGCTGATGCTTGTCTTGTTTAATCGGTTTACCATGTTTATATATTGGTCCGGTTGATCTCGAAGAACGGGTTGAACGGATGGAAAGTACGTTTGTTGTCGAGTGGACGCTGAAGTTTGTTTGGAGTATAAAAAAATCGTTCAGCTGTAACACCCTTCCGGTGCCTAGCTGCCATGCTACTCGAAAGAAGCACGACGGTTGAGGTATTACTAGGCTGCCCAAGCCTAGTCAGCGGAAGTCGAGAGGCAGAGGTCCAGTTCGAACCACGGACCTTCCGGTCAGTAAATTCGCACTCTGACCACTTGGACCATCTCGCCCCTGGAGTATATGTTTTCATGGTTTCACATTGTGGCCTACTCGTCTTTTTTACCCTCCTTTCCGATCTGCAGCTTTGAACTCGCACTTTCGACCGAAACCATCAATAAGCATGATTCGTTGCTGAACCACTCGAAGCTGAAGCCACTCCATGTGTACAAGGATACATGAGCGTGAAATTAAGTATGAACTTGAGAATCAGTTCCCGAGCCCTAGTCAGTGTGGTGGATTGTATTTTGCAGGACTAATCACGTCTGTTTCAAATGATAGCTTGAGATCTGGTGGGTCAGATGATTGTTTCTTAACACATATTACCTAAATATAATCCAGTGTCTGAACTATCTGCCATAATATATCCCCAACGGAATCGACCTTAAGACCGATCCTAGTTTATCCGTTTCCTTAGATAACTTTTCTTCCTTATTCTCGCATGAAGTAGTGAGCCACATAAGGTACTCAAAGCGAAGGCGTTTTCAGCTAATCTGTTTCACGAAAGAATATTTTGAAAAAAACGTTCAGCCGTAGCACCTTTTGGTCCCTAGCTGTCATGTCACACGAAGGAGGCACGAGGGCTGGGATACTGCCAGGTCGCCCAAGCCTAGACAGGGCAAATCGAGTTGCAGAGGTCGGGTTCGAACCACGGACCTTCCGGTCAGCAAATTCGCGCTCTAACCACTTGAAACAGTTTCGTCGTTCCTCATCAAGTGTACAAAATGTATATCGCAGTTTTCAAACTAAAGGGGGCCAGAAGTGAATGGTTTCGCCGCTGGAATGGGATACGTCTTTGTTCTATGGACGTTCCCTATCTTCATCATCGCAGCACCCTCTCATTATTCCGCGTAGGTGCTCAGTTTAATTGTTGTTAGACCCGTTTGAAGATCGTTTTTAAGATGTTCTTTCCGGTAAAACGGAGCATGTAGCTCGCCCACTTGAGCACAGTTCCTTATACTTGCAAACGTATTAATTGACACAAGGTTGGTAAGTCCTTTGCTGTACTGTATCAGAGAGCATACGCCAAACCTCGGGTGATGGGGTCCTTTGGTATGCAATTAAAGGAGCTTTGTCTTAACGAACTAGCCAGTTAGCGAAATTACATTCATTTGCATACCAATTTAGTTTGTATGGGAGACACTTAAATCGCTGCTGAATTTCTCGTTTATGATGTTTTTAGGCAACTGAATGTGCTGCACCAGGCCGCCTCATGTTTCATTTGGTACGATATTCGAGATATTGCGATAGGTGTATAGACGTAATACAGTATCCATAAGATTTCTGAAAATTCCTCGACAGCCCATGACCAGTTTTGCCCTTCTTGCGGCTCATCAGGTAGGCACAGTCCCCGAGTTTCCCTCAATCTTACGCTCTACTCGAGACCAAATTGCACGAAATTAGCAAACAAATTTGGTTTTGCGGGAGGCTCACCTGGAACCCAGTTTAATTTCCTGTTTATGATGTTTTCAAGCAGCTGTTGGATGATTTTCAGCAACTTTTTGAGTAGTATATTACGTCTATGCATGTATCGCGATTTCTCGAATATCGAAAAACTGAAACATGAGGCGGCCTGGTGCAGCACCTTCACTTGCTTCAAAACATCATAAACGAGAGAGTGAGAGAGGCGAATCTCTTGAAAAACCAAATTTGTTTGCAAATGAGTGCATTTCACTAACTACCAAAATTACACTTATTTGCTTACCAGTTTGGTTTTTACGGAGGTTTCACATGAATCCCAGCTGAATCTCTAGTTTGTGATGTTCTTCAGTTATCTCCAGTTCACATACCTTTGGCGCTGGTCGAGCGTTTAACCGCACTGGCTTCTTTCTACGTGAAAGTTTGTCAACTATGTATTTTCTTTTCTGTTCATACTATCTGTTCTTTATCGAGGAAATACTCGGAGTTTTATGTACTCGAACAAAAATTGATTGAATTCCATGGAAACGCGATCACTCAGACGCTTCCTCCTCGGAAATTTACCCCTCGAACCTTCGAATTTCTGGAGAGTAAACGTGAAGTATTTGAGGAGTACCTACAGGTAATCTGAACCCTTCCTGTGCTAATTTTTTTCTATTTTCTTGTTCGTTTGACACCGCTTTTGTGTGTTGCTCCTTGTTTCCTCAGTGCTTCAAATGTTTTCATTTGACCTTTTATGTTCCCATCTTCATTATTTGACCGCTGAACCGAGTGTCGTGAATCCACCGCCTTACACTATCGTAATATACCTCGCCAACAGTTCAGTGTGCTTTTTTGGTTTACTTTAAACTGTCTGCATCATTTAGTGTAACGTACATATAACCATTCCGTTCGAAGAACGCCAAGTGAGACACAAGTGTAATTTGACATATCACCTTACCGATGAACACTAGCCCTTTTTACATTTTACTCCAGTAACCAACGAATACGGTCGGTGTCTTCTGACTTGATGCTTTATCTCGGCCACTTGTGATACGTTGAGGACCGTGGCTTGTTCGATGAATTTCTGACTTGTTAAATAACTGACAACCCAGGTTACTGGTGAAGAGTGAGCTAATATCGTACAGCTAGTTTATTTGGAATGTAACTGTCGTGATCAGTTCCGAAGGCGTCTCTGTTCGTTCCGTCGATAGACAAGAGCGGTTGTGAAAAATTTGAGCAGTGTGTGTCGGATTTGCCTTTTTTGAACATGTACAATACCCCCCTCACTCACCTACTAAGAGTAGTATCGATTTACATTTCATATGTATTCTTTGATGACCTGAACGCTTTTGCTGGACTTCAAGTGTGGCTAACTCACCTTGCATCCATTCAAAAATAACGACGATTCTGATCGTGTCCATTTTATCGGAGTCCTAGAATTTGTTTTGTTCGTTTCCGACTGTATTTGGTAAGATTGTACCGTTTCCATGCGGCCCCTCTGCGGTAATGATTAGTCGGACTACCGGTGCTTGAACTAGAAAGCTCACGCAGATTGTTTTTTTCTCATTTCAGTATCTTATTGCTCAACCGTTTCTGCGGAACAGTGAACTTCTGCATGGATTTCTCACCTCCAAAATGCCATTCACCAGCAGTCTTTTATTTGAACTTAATTTGGGACGCTTTGTAAAGTCCGTTCCACTGAAACTCATCAAGGAGGTTAGTTGATCTTTCTGAATCCCGTTCTTCTCTGTCATTTTAACGCCAGTGATTATTTTTCAGAACAGTGACACTTGTTAATCTTTTTTTTCTTTGGAAATGGGGTTATTAGACACCTTTCCAGTTCATTTGAAGGACTACACATTGTTTTTAACCTGATGCAGGCTTATATGGGAGGTATTCGCCAACCCCTCATATATGGCTACTGCTCTCCGATATCTGCCCTCACTTTTCTCCATACGGATCTTGTCTGGATAGTTTTCATGTCAGCTGTTAAGAGGCCTTGACGATACCTAGAAACATGTTGCCGCCTAACCACCCTACTTTGTCGACTGCCGTTTTGATGCTTATTTGGACCTCTGGACGCCCTCCTCGTCCTTCTCTGCTCACTCGAGCAGCCCCTCAGAATCGTTTAACTCAGGGAAATCTGAACGTCATACTTGTCAGATTTGGCGATTTTTTGGAAGAGGTTACCTAGAGTCAGCAGCTTGAGCGGATTTCTGAGATTCTGTTACTCAGAGGTCAAAATTGCTGGATGCAAACTGCGTGAATGAGAGTTTAGTGATGTTAGCTAAGTTGGACTCCATTCATATCGCTGGCCATTCACCCGTAACGGAAAGCAGATATTGAAACTTCTTAGTTATCCCATACTATATATATATATATATATATATACTGTGCGAGGTACAATTTTTGCACATTAGGAAATAAACACAGGATGATACTAGAGATTGTAATCTGAAAGCCTGTTCTCTATATAGCATTAAATGCGACATATACTATGCCACGTTTCTACTAGTTGTCAAATCAGCCCCCTTTTACATGTCACTCACCTTCGGATCTGTTTGGTTGGTCGTTCTCCGGTCCGCCATGTAAGGTAAATTAGTGAATGTTGATTCGGGGATGAATTAGCGTTGGTATATTGGTCAGTTGTCATACCCTCGTTTTTGAAAGCACTGAAACATTAGGAAACTTAGCTCCCACGTCATGCTGATGCATGCGGATGAAGTGCCTACACCATGGGGCAGTAACGAGTTCTAGACGGAACCAGGTGATTGTCATTTCGCTCACGGGAGACAAGAGCACCTTGTTTCTGATGACTTGGGTTATCCTACTAGATTACCTGAACTAGTTGTCATCGAGTGAATGAGTCCACAGTACTTCTAAGTATTCGTCCCATGGACTACAGAAATTTGATTAACTGACGATTAGTCCACGTTCTGGGTTTGGTCTTATAAACCTTAGGACCACTGTTTTGTGAGAGAGGTCTACCTGTCAAGCTCATTTGACTGTATCAGGAAGAAGGTGATTAGTATGACTAAGCTTTGATTTTGAGCACCCTGATTCACTAGGCGAAAATTATTTGCGATGCCAAAGTTCCGCTTTTCCCGTTTTATCTCTTTGGGAGTAATAGGTTCGAAAGATCCGATGTTTTCCGATCTTTGGGTATTCCGCCCATCAATCCGATTGTGGAATTCGCAAGGCTGGGTCGGATTCACCCCTTTGTAATGGGAGGCCCACATTCGATGGGGAAAGATTGTGAGGAACGATCACTCTGGTTGTTGGTGCTGAATTATGTATGGGTATCAATCAAGAAGGGATCCGCATTGCTTTGAACAAAACCATTGTCGTTAATTTTGTCGTTTTTAGTGCGGCTGAATATGAAATCGTTTCGGTGCTGACATCGAAAACCCTGCCTTCACGCGTTTATTTGGTGAATCCGGTGTTTTACCTAGACAACATGGCTCGGTAGATAAGATAATAAACGCTCAAGTTATCTAAACTGCAGTTACCGTTCTTATTTTCAGAGAGGCCAATACTTGGATCAATTCTTGATAAGCTTTTACGTCTCCTGCAGTCCTCAACCAATTCTCATGGAACCTGTTGAGCCCTCAATTGAACCCGTTTTCACAGTTTTCCCTAGCAGCGGGGTTGGAACACTTGGGGGGATAGATGCCCTTGCAACGCCAGATCACTACTCCCTGAAACCGTCATCATCGTCTGCTTCTGAAGCGACAACGGTTTCCTGGACAGTTTCCCAAAATCATTCATCAGCAGGACTTGGAAGTCATCGTCAAAATCCGGGGGTTGCCAGCTCCTATGTGATCATGCCCAGGTCTTACAAACGAACCTGGCTGGATAATCGATTACGAGTGAAAATGTTCTGGAACAATGCTGGCTTACCTGTTGAACGACGACACGACCTACGTAAAAAAGTGAGTTTTTCGTCAGTCTAGCTGTTTGTCGAACGCAGTCCGTCCTGTGTAACTCACTGCCAACCAAGCACCCCAAAGACAGATGCTTGAAACGATTTGGTTCGAGTTCACCGTTGGAATGTCGGTTGGTTTTGTATGCCCAGCATGGACGGTTTGTTAGTGCCTCTGATATTTCCTTGCAGAGGCCGTTTAGTAGCAATGCGACTAATGGGCGTTATGCCTGAATTTCCGAACAATCCTCCAACTCATACCGTACAAGCAGCCGTGTCGGTTTGCATTCATCATGAGCGACCGGATTTACCACCATTGATTTGATGGTGTTTGCCCCTTATATTCAACCGTGAGTGGACGTTTCTTTAATGCCTACTTGCTTTGTACCCATATGTCCCTAATGTTCAACTTGCCTTCTGCTTTGGGCGGTTTTTGCGGTCACTACCTTCCAGCTTGAGGTAAAATTTCATGAATCCGGTTGTATCGAACTCTTACTCTGGAGTTCACACCCACGGTTGCCGATATGCAGCTCATCACATCACCTTCTGTTGCTCGTGTACTGAGTTCGGTTTAGTAACCAACCCTGTCTCCCTGACTGAAATCAGGAAATGTAGGGGGGAATTATTCCTTGTTAATGTGGGCTTTTTACTGGGCTGATTTCTGTTACAAACCCCGATGCTTGGTGGTCCCTGATTTGTTCCATAAAAGTAGTGGTCTTTTTAGCTCCCAGCAAACAAGTGTTGATGTCCTGTAACGTATGCGTTATGTGAAGCTTAGGAACGGTGGCTCGGAGGTTGCAAGCTAGCACACGCTAGAGTTTTAAAAGAAACCTTTTTGTGGAAATCAGGAGGCCTTGGTTGTTATGATGCTCACAATGTTATGAAAGAAGCACACTTGAGGTGAATGTGAAAGTAGTTTACGTCTAATGCAGTCTACGTGTGTGCCATCCTAGGTGTCACTTATGAACAAATCCCATACGGTACCGGTGTTCTGTTGTAGGGTTAGACGATGGTAATCTCGGAAAGACTGGCTTTTGCTCTCTCAATCTGATACGAAACAGACGGCCGCCTAGTGCGCGACAAACGCAGTTCAGCAATTTTCTGCACCTTCATTACTTGTTTCTTGCCATTGTTACATCAGTATGATAATCTGATATTTCTCGGTTCTTGGAAAAAGTCCCCAAATTCCCCTGTGAATCAGTATCCATTTTTAAAGTAGTACTTTGAATAATAACAGCTAGTTATTCGTAAATCCCGCTTCCTGAGTCATCCGTCAGTCGCTGCAATCTGCGCGTAGCCTTTCAAGTGCCGTAACCTCGTGCATAATTCTGAAGTCTCATCCTTCGTTCCGAGCTGTAGTTATTTCTAAAATGGTCACTCCAAGTGCCCGTTGTACGAACCATCATCGTTGCAAGTGCATTGGTTGACAGGAATCGTGCGATCTTCATTATGAAATTTATGATTGGTCGTAGTTGGTGTTATTTGCCGATTAGAGACTGTCTGCAATGATCAGTTTTCATCCCCTCTTTCCAGTCCTGTGAGTTTTTTGGAGTACAACCGTCAGGTTTATTGGAGCTTGCCATATACACTTTGAAGCCGTTTGCGATTGGTGGGGGTGGCAATCCCCCTGCCTCTGTTGACTCCAGCATGGATGACGATCACCCGACAATGTGCGAACAGAGAAACAACACTCTGAAGAAAACAGAGGAAGAGTCTATTATTCCTGCTGAGCCCTGGGACATTGGTAGTTCTGGTTGGAACGAAGCCCTGCTTACTGCCCCAACTGTTGCTCCCATCACAGAAGCCGTCACTGCCCACTCGAATACGGATTCCTCAATCACAGTGCAACATTCGGAAGAACAGCCATATCCTCCGGTCTTGGCGGCTAACAGTACTGTTGGACAGGATCGTACTGTATCGATTTCTCTGGAGGACATGATTGCTGCCCTGACCGGTCTGTGGAGACTGTGTAATCAGCATCTATTCACACATTTACGTTTCCTCCTGCTTTGGATTTTCTACATCCTTAGAGGCTATTGTAAGACACGAATCGATGCTTGGTTTATCGGCCGGATTAAGCAATACATACAACACACATTAACGGATGACACAATTGCAAACGCTTTGCAAATACTAAAAGGTGGGTTTCACAGTTCATCTCTTTGTCGTTCATCTATGTGCAAAAACTGTCCGGTTCTCTTGGAGTTTGAAGATAGACAGTGACTAGTCAGTATACAGTTTCCGCCATTGAACTGAGCGCTCCATAAATCCAATCTTTTTCATTGTGGAATGTGATGCTTCCAGAGCTCCTGCATCAGTTGTAGAATATGCGCATGCGACTCAGAGGAGGTTTAATCCACGTGAATCCAGCTGATTTTGTAAGCTGCACAAGCACCCACTCCTTTACTTTTGTTGACGGTATAAGACAACTTACTCATTTGATCATCAAGTACCATGCTATTCTAATGATCTCTTCCATGCTTGTGACTTGTCAAATTGAGCACGTTTTTGTTGCCCGTATATCTGTCAGATTCTGTAACCTCTAGCAAAACAACCATAGTTCATGGGTTTAGTTTATCCCTTCAAGTCAATATGCGCAACCCAATAGACTAACCCTCCCAACAACAGTCAGGAGGAAGTTTTGCTTGAATAGCTATAAGTGGAGCATAGTCTCTATCCGTATCTACGTTCACCTGTAGCACCCTTTTGGTGCCCAACTATCGTGCTACCCGAAGGTTGCACTAGGGCTGGGATACTGCCAGGTTGCTCAAGCCTAGACAGGGGAATTCGATGGGCAGATGTCGGGATCGAACCACGGACCTTCAGTAAATTCGAGCTCCAACCACTTGAGTTATCTCGCTTCCAGCTCCGTGGAACATAGCAAAATAGGCGTTCCCTGCATCTAGGGGTGAGGTTGTCTTATAGTCACAAACCATTTCTCACGAATGGAACGGTACTGCCTTTTGTGAAGTTGCTCACCAGAGGAAGGGACCATTTCATGAGGATTTCCCACAGTCAACCCTTTAATAGGTGCCTACGTCTAGTGGTCGTGAATGGATTTTTTGACCCCTCTACTTTTGTGATATGCTTGATAGTTCGCAAAACTACCTGGGGGTCATCAGCTGCTTGACACGGGTCCGTCTTCCAACCATGAAAGAACCTAACTTCCGGTGCACCTGAAATAGGTTGTTTGGAATTCATTCTGCCACTTAAGGCCGTTCTCTCCTAATCTGAGTCAAGAGATTACACTACAGATCAGTCTCCTCTGTTTAGCCCCCGTTCGATTTGAAACCCCACGGCCGTCGTTTAACATACCGTAAGCTGAAAAAAACAGTGCAGCAGTTGATACCGTTTACACTGATTGGGGAACATAATCACCCTCAGAGAACTCGTTACGCACTTCTTGGTCGTATAAAAATAGTGTTGCTGTCACTAATGCTAGTCCGTTACACCTTCTGGAATGCGACTACTCGGCCGACACATCGAATCGATCTTGTTCTGGCCTACTTGCAAACGAGGGGAAAACCGTCGAGAGAATCAAATTTAGAACAGTGCATTCTATTTACGTTCAAATCACACCATACGACGCTGCGCATTCTTCCCTTACAAAGAATCCCAGACCAAATTTGGTTGTCAATCTCGAAGAAAGGCTAACTACTCCCTTCCGTTTCCCATAGTGGAAATTCATATTTCCTTTTGGAATTGTATATGTCGCTGACGATACCTTAAACCCAATTGTTTTTCACCAACAGACTTTCGCTGGGAGAGAAGGTTTGCGACCCGTTGCTTGGTGTAACTGTGACGTGGATCTTATACGCCCGCACGGTACAGTGTAGGCGGTTGTATCTGTTCAGAACGGGACACAATCCTGTTGGTATATTTGTCTTAGCAGACTGGATTTTGACCGCGTATATTTTTTTCGAATCTTTTCGAATGCTGCGTATGTTGTTCACTTGTCATCATTTAACTTTTTGATTATACTTCCTGGCCAGTTTGCACCATCTGGTAGTGTTTTCCTGCTCTAACCTATGTTTTGTTTGTTTTACAGCCACGTTATTCTATCCTCCCACCAGTCCGAAGTAAGCTTGAATTTGCTTGATTGTGATCATTTTACATGCATTTTGGCGGGTTGGTTGGATATCTACCAAGTTATTCGCGTATTCTCTTTTCAGTACTGATTTGGAAAGGTTAGAGCGAAAGGCTGCCGCTGGAGACGCTCTCCGCCAAAGGGTAAAAAGTGAGTGTAGTCACTACTTTTACCGTATTTTTCCAGCCGCGACACCCTTACTAGGTTGATTCAATGCATTTACTCTTGAACTGAGGACATTTTTAATAGCACGCCACTGTCACTTGTTCGATCGGCCACAAAACGTGTCACAGTGTGTGCAAGCTGACTTTCCAAGTCACAATTCACGTTTTTGGTTAAAAATCTTGTATAAACTTGTCACGACCAGTGCCTCATTTGTTCCGTTGAGTATTGTTGGGATGCTGCCAGCGGAAAACCCTCCTACACAAAAAAGGATACATGCATTTCTGAATTGACTGAAAAATATTTTTCTCATGCGCTCGTCCCCTCACGAAAGAAATCTGTTAATTCAAATACCTTTGCTTAGTTTTATCAGTTGTACAATGGCAGTACTCACTCTGTCGACATGGAGGGTACTTTTTTGTCGTTTAAAGTTGAAATGACCCATCCTGGCAGTCATACTACAGTTGTGACCGGTGTGTGGGCTGCCGAAAGTCCGAGTTCGAGGTCTTGGTGCTTGCTCTCTTCTCTGTATGTACTCAGCTTCATCAAGGCGCTCTGATGTGTACACAAGATAGTGGTACCTGTGCACTCGCCGTTCTTCCTGTTCATCACTGGAGGTTTCTCAAGTTTCTTCTCGAGGGTTATGTTTTCCCGTTGAAAGTCGGCCAACAAACGGCCGGTGCTCTCTTCCATTTGTGGGGAGGTGGACATGGCGTATCCAAAAGACAGTCGCCAACCCCGTTATCACGAACCATCGTTGTCACCCAGTTGAACCCGACGGAGGATGATCAAACAGCATAAATCATCACGAAGACATGAAAAAAGAAAACGGCATTTATCGAGGACTATTGAGCTCTCAATGAAGATTCGGTCTTGCAAGTGAAGTCGGCCTACGGGGAACAATGTAAAGCCGTTTCATTAGCAATGTGCGACTCACGTATCTCCAGGGTAATCCGAATCTGTGACCTTCCGGTTACTAGCTGAAGTCTAAGACAGACAGGCTCGTCATTGTAAGTAGACAGGATATTAGACAACTCCTTCATTCACGGAGTTCCTATCACGCGCTCATGTGGTGACTGAACTTCGAGTGACTGCTTCCTTCTCAGCCACTGATGGGTCGTTGATAACAGGAGGAGATGGTGCAATTTTTCACTGGGGGATTTCTTAGACCAGCTTCGAAAGCACGGTCGAATGGTTTAGTTTTGAGTTACTCGAGCGGAGGTCATGGGTTCGAATCTCCCTCGTATTTCATGAGGTTCGCGTACTCGCAAAATAATGACAGCTGTACAGATGGATGGACTCCACTTATGGCAAAACCCCAAATCTCCTGATACTACAGCATAACGAATCGTCATCGTTTTATTGCATCCTTCAGTTTTGTTGCTTTCCGTTGCAGTTGAAACGTTCCGGCGAATGGCATCCATGGCTAAATTACCGATCAGGTCGAGCCAAGTCCAGTCAAAAAGGTGTATCGGCATTGCAAGTTGGTATGATGACTGTACGGTGTGCTGATAAATTCGGACCAGCCGGTGATCCTCACCATGACGTTTATTCTTGGAGGACGAATAAGCGATTTGGGGAACCAGAATGTGTCCAACATTCTGGTGGTTTTCTTTTGGAGAGGGGTCCTTCGACGATATTCTCATTAAATACACACAAGCAATCCACTGGGTCTAACTGATTCATGTTAGATAGTTGCCGTATATCTTTGATAGCTAGCGTACGCACTAAAGCGACACTGGCATCTTTACAGCTTACGCATGTAAGCCGATGACATCATTACTACCTTATTTCAACTAGAGTGGAATGAAACGAACTTTTTCAAGACATCCACTAATCTCGCATTACTGTCACCGGTATCGGAAATCTACCAATCTCGATTGATTTTAGTGATTAGAGCTTAAAGACGAATTAACTAGGAGCGTAGGTTGCGTATAGCTGCTAACGCCACCTGGTTATTTCAGTTTTATCCGCACCACTCCAACTTAGACTTTTCAGCACATCACTCAAGACAGTGTAGAACTCCTCGACCGAACATCGTCCGGTGTGTTAAGCGCTATTAGGTCCAATGCAAAGAGTGAAAAATCAGTCCGTTGCAGGGCATATGGTGCCACAGATCAAATTCCACTAAAGGAAAGTAACTTTTGAATACTCCCCATTCAGTTATGCGGAATTTCGCTCTCATAACCATGGGTTTTCTCTTTATCCTATCCACCGAATCATATCTCTCCGTAGCTATACACAGATCATGTCATTGTTTCATACATATTGGAATGTGCCCGTATTTGTGTGCACGACAGTCTGATAATCGAAAACCTGGTAGTGAACCATCGATCTTGTTGACTAGACAATGCGAGTCAAGGCGTTACCTTGTTATGACATTTCTCCTTTGCGCTGTTCAGAGAAAACCGAAAGGAATTGATCGTGGAGTATCGCAATGTGGGAATAGACCGTCTGGTTCAACCAGAGCACCGTAATCCTAAACCATGAGGGGACTTCCACCGTAAATTTGGTTGTTATATGACCCCTCTTCTCAATGTTTCGACTTCTAAAGACTACCGTCTACTCGTGGTTCTGTTCTTTCGCTGTGCTTGATTGCATTTCAGCCAGCCAAATGGTTTCCTCATCCATTTGCTTCCCTAACGCTATGGCGCTCCTATCCGTTGTTAACAACGTTTGATTCAAAAGTGCACATTGAAGATTCAGGTTTTTATGTGGGGTATTATCTTTAATTACCTCACAATCGAGGGCATCCTAGGTCCTGTTATGCGGATTTGCTGAAACAACTTCCTTGCATTCTCAACTGCTATGCTCCCTTGCTTTACTTCACTGTTCGATCTAATCTCTAATCGATTGCCTCATCGAATTGTGCTCTGAGCCCGAATCGATAAATTACCTCGCATCAGGTTATCGCCGTCGTAATCATCGACGGTCTTTATACAGACTGGCGCTTAACTGCTACGTCTCGCATCAAGGGACGATAGTGACCAATGGGCTTGTGGGTGCGCATTCAGACAGTTTCCGGCGTTGCGTTTAGCCATTATTCACTCACTCCAATTGCAGTCAGTTCCTTCCGAGGGGAGCGCAAGGGTAGCACTGTCAGTAAACTTTGGTGTGTTTCCCTAACTCATGGCCCACAAAGCCTTTCGGCGGGAATCGCCCGAAAATCGACAATGAACGAGAGCGTGATCTGAGTCAACCTGCATACTGTAGAATACTTGGAAGTCAAGGACTGAACCACTCCATAGCCAACTTCTCGGTGATGGAACGCGGCTGGTTAGTTCATGACAGTCGTCTTTCGATGAATTAGTGCTAGAGTTCATTCGTGAATCTGTCGGCTCGGCAAATTGTCATGCTTGTTCCAACCCCCAAACTAGAGGGCTAGGGGAATATGCTTATTGGACGTATATCCATTTACGAAACTGGTAGGTGAGGCTGTGAGTGTTGCCTGAGCATCCCTCATTATAGTTAAGTGAATCATCAGGGTACACGAATCGTCACCCCACCATAAGGCTCAGTCTCTTCGTTGTTACTGCGACTCACCAACTCCCCAGTTTTTCAAATCACATCATGAATTTTGCCTCCCGTTACCGTTTTGGATAATTCTTGGGATATTCACAATTCATGCATAGGTTGTGATGTACCTGTCTGTACTTCTTCAAATCACTCTACACTACACATACATCTGCGTCGGATTTTTTCCGGGAATTTGTTTTTTGTTTTGATACCTACACCTTGAGAAGACCTCAACTTTATCCTTGGCACGCACATGTTACACGCAGCTTGCCTGGTCAATATTCAGGGCCTATAACTAATGGCTAATTTAATGTCGTCGACATTGACTCTTACAGAGCGGCTGATCTTGCTGTTCTTCTGTTTAGCACATACCGTACTTGTTTATGTTCACGTGTCATTATCATACCCAGGACTCGAGTGCGCGCGTCGTAACCTTCGTAATGTCTTTGCTTCACTTTTGAGGTGACTGTTTATCACACAAACACTCACCAAAAACCTGAGTTGCTGCGTATCGAGGTCATACCGGTGCAGCAATCTCGTTCCTGCCGATGCTTTGTTTGCATAGTTTGCAAACCGGTTAGTTAAGTATCATAGACCTTGATGGTCCGTCTCGTTACTGGATCATTCTCACCATGAATGAACTTTGTTAACTTCTGCTTACACATTTTGCTCCGGCTCGACAGTTGACAGTCAGGCTGTCCTAATTTTGGCAACTTTAATTTAGATGCATAATCATATTCCTGTAGGAAATCCGATACATGCATGGCTTCGTAATAACCATTTGGTGTTTATTAGCCCTAATTGTCTCTGACTTATCGTGCACACGACTCCTGTTCTGTACGATATTGTGTTCCGTTTTTGGTGAAGTCGACGGTTATTCGATTCGTTTAACTAAAAATTTGCGAAAACCGGGATCCAATCATCTCATACATCGTAGCTGGTGATCAATGCTTCCCCACCGTTGGCTCGCGCTGTGGCGTCGCGAACGCTTTAGAACACCGGTCACTTAAAATCAATGGGTTATTTTCACAGCTTGCCGCACCTAAAACCGATAATAACGTTGGTCATGGATCTCGTAACCTTTTTACCAGTTGTAGTAACGGTATTTTCCTCAGCTTAGTTCTCGGTCTGAGCCTCCCAAGCTAGTGTTCACATCAAAACAACCACCAAAGGTGCACAAGGTCTATTAACGCCCAAAACGAAGTCAAGAACAGTTGTACAGCGCTTCGTATATATAGCGTAAGCGGTTATAATCTGGAATTTCTGACGCGTTCTGGATGCGCCATTGGCAACCGGCATTTGGCAAATACTGGGTCATGATTGGCTGTTGGGTCCATGTTGTTGACCAATCAGCTCTCGTCTTGATGCCGGACCGGCAAGCGTCCCGAATTCTGGGCCAGCCTCGAGCGAACCAGGCCTCGCGGCCGTAGCAGCGCCTAAAGACGTGCGGTATAGTGGGATCCGCGTGGATTCCTGCCTAACAACCAGTCCACCGTCCCAAGCGTTCCATCAATCCAAGTACTATATATTCTCTTGTGCTACCCGTATACCCTTCTCAGATGGGAGACATATCTTCCAATACCATCGCCCGGCCCGTCGTTTCGACTCTCAATCTAAAAATTCTAGCCATCATAGTACGGATATTGTTCTCTCGAGCTTGGGTAGCCGGACCAGTTACTGTGTTACAACATCCCGAGACGTCCTGTCCTTTTTGGAAGCGTTCTTATACGCGAACGGGCGCATTGAGTTTTACATGGACAACATTTGTTCCACGCAGTCATAATTGACAGAAAAACCATATTAAGTTCGACAAATACACTCGTTTGCAAATCAATTTGGTTTTCACGGGAGACTCAAGTGAATCTCTTGTTTGTGATGTTTTTCAATTGAATGTACTGCATAAAGGCCGTCTCATGTTTCAGTCAGTACAGTATTTGAGATATTGCAGTATATTTTCATAAAGAAGAGTTTTCAGCAAACTTGTGAGTAGTTTCCTTCATGAAAATATACCGCGATATCTCGAATAATGTACCAACTGAGACATGAGACGACCTTCGTGCAGCACATTCAGTTGAAGAACATCACAAACTAGAGATTCACTTGAGTCTCCCGTGTAAGCCAAATTAATTTGCAAGTGAGTATATTGGTCGCAATCAGTCCGATTTGGGGTCAAGTGAAACGTAAGGTTGACGGAAACTCGGGGACTGTGTCTACGTGATTAACCCTAAGAAGGGCGAAACCGGTCGTAGGCTGTTGAAATTTTCATCTACCTTGTGAGTAGTTTATTTTATGAAAACCATATGAAGTTCTTTTGACCAATTTATTGCAGTTACGCATGGACTCAATCCCTCGTAACTCCGGGGGGGGGGGTGTGTGCTCATTAACTTATCGTCTCGCCAAGCTTCTTTGCCTTCGGTAGAAGTACGATGACGTCCGTTACTTCAACTAATAGCGTTATTTATCCGTATAAGATTCTACGTGTCACAAGGACACCCTCTAGTATACCTCTCAGGTTAATGGAGACACACAAAACGTAATACCACGACAAGGCTCGGCCTCTTCTTGACGGCCAGTAAGATAGATCACAGCATCAATGTATGACTGCTTCATTACTCGCTACAGACGCTTATCCAAGGCCGTTGTGTGCTGCTTGCCCTGGCCCTAATGTGAAGTCACCTGAGTCAATGGTATACGGCATAGAACACACACTTAAGCCGGCGTTATCTCCGCGAAAGGTCAGAAGTGTCGTGTGAAACAATGCAGTTAGGGCGTGAGACAAATGGTGTATTCGTAAGTTTCGCTCAGTTGTATGAATTGTCCTAGGTCCATGGTACTACGGCAATACGGGTTCGATGATGCACATCCACCATTTTCATCAGCACCTTTAATTCATGCTAGTGGCGAAACCGGTTTTGTCAAGGAAAGCGACCAATCTGTGAAGCAAATCAGCTGGATTCTTAGTTGCGACCTTACTACTGAAAATTCATTCATAGCGTACTACCAGCTTTGCCCTTTGTCATATTTTTTGTGTGAACGCGAATTTGCACATATGTAGAGTTGAATACTGACTCGAAAACTCGGACACTGTGAACGTCAAATTCAACTGAGACTCAAATGAATCTCCTGTACGATTATCCTAAAACCGAAGGCTGCATGACGTTTCCCGCGAACTCACATTAAGGATATCAAGTACACTTTGACTTCTTAAATATCAGCCTGATTAGACACGTCACTTGCCCAGTACGTTGTGTTGGTTATTTTAAATCAGTCGCACTCCAAGACGATCCTGGTATGTGATTGATGCGAAGTACATGCTTTCCTTTTTGACTGTCATGTTAGATTACGACACCATTCACGCTGGCCAAAACCTACCCACACCACATGATTTGCCCGCCTTTTGCTTCACGTGTGTCAATCTTTGTCTGTCTTTTATCCAGACACTGGTCTTGCGTTCATCATCGACTCGAAGGAACTGGAAGAACGCGTGGATAAGTTGCTTCTCTGTTTACAGCATCCAAAGTGGAATAAACAGCTGACTTACGTGCTTCTCGACCAACTAGTCACCGTACTGTTTCCGGAGTTGATCGACCAAGCTGGTAACCAGCAGCCAGATTCTTAGGTATACATACATTTATTTCATCTTCACCCACCTAACCCCTGTGACTTGACCCATACTCATCTGTATACAGTGATTTCACCTAGATTAACCTTTGTCCTTTCCGTCCGTTGATACGCATTCGCTGCAGGCAATGCGTACACTATAGAGCTAACTTCGTTTGCGTTCCCACTGTACATTCGGCCATTCCTATGATTAACATCGTTATTGTCCGCACAGAAGAGAGGTGGTTTTTTGCTTGACTTCCTTGCTGTCCGGTACAACGATTCATTCACCCGAACTTATCAACCGCATGTTCTCATCTGTGATAATTTTGCAACTCTGTTTACTTTATGCCTATGCGCGTACGATTTGGCCTCTGCGTTGTTCTTTTTTTATCTGGTGTTACGTGCTTCTCATCCGGCTGTTTCTGTCCTGTGAGTACCGTATTGTTTTCTTTTGTTTTCGAACTGATGACGCTTTTCAGTCTGACCGACATTCTTCTTTGTGCTGCGACTGTGTGGGAGCATTTTCGTGTGATGAACAGACACGTGGCCGCTTCCTAGGTGCACACCAGAATCTGCAGAATAGTGAATGAACCTCTTACATGCATATGCTGTGAATACGATCTAAGAACGAGCGTCTCATCCTCGGCAGTGACGTTTTAGCACATCTTCGCGAATGCAGAGTAAGAAGATGATGACATGACCCTCTGAACGAAAACTTCATTCCGATCCGAGGCCGTTTACTAAGCACAACACGGTCAATTGTATAGTTTTGGTTGAACTTTAGTGACAGAAATCTAGAAAGTACATGTAAACGGAAATGGAACAACCCAGGTTTGGGGGGGGGGTTATGAGGATAATGCGAAGTATGGGAGAAACTAAGGCGACAGTGTATAAATTCACATGCTGGAAAAAATCGCCTTAACCTTTCTCTGATATACCAGAAACGATTTGATTCGTCCGTTACATGTGGATCGAAATCATGTCAAAATGGGTCGGGATTTTTTCGGTAGCCCAATAGTGCGGATCTGACTACTACGATTTTGGTGTGGCGATTCCGATTGACTATCTCGTTGATCAAATTGATGTCTGATCTAGTTTTTGATGGCCTCGTTAATTTTTAGTTCAAAAACACAACTGTGATCAGAATATTACCAATATTTTTTCTAGCCAGCTTCATGCTGAGGGGAATGTCATCTGTTACAACAACAATCGAAGGTCGCATCGTCGTCTGTTTGAGATTGACCTAATGGGTTGTAAGTTTAATCTACTACCAAAGGTAGCATCCATCTCTTATCGGAGAGGTGGGGATCTCGCTTCAAGTCAATAACTTGGCCAATGCTTGTGATTCTCAATAGAGATGAGATCGTTTCGCGGTGCTTTTGCACTCCAACAACTCGAGATGGCCTGCTTTTCACCCAGAGGGTGCCACAGCCACACGATGATTTTATTTTTCGGTATCCAGTTAGTTTGACAGCAAAAGCAGTATATAAGGTGGGACTGTACTCTTTCGTAGCCGGTGGAATGAGCAGCCTTCAGATTTTCTAACCTAATACCGCACAAAAATTGGTCTTAGGGGGGGGGGATGCATTAAAATGAGGCGGGCTTTCCTGACAAAGTCCGTAGCTTTGACCCTTGCAAGATCGCCAGCACATTGAACCTCTTCTCACCCGTGTAGGTGGCCGAGACAAATATTTGTACGTAAAAAGGTAATCAAATAATGATGCAATGATTGAACGCATATCTGCCGCACGGAGAGGACTGAAACACTGTTTCTTTCGTATACTGGTTTGCCAGAATGGACTATATTACTACAGAAGCAGCGGTAGAAGAAATCGGAGGGTCACATTAAAATCGGGCTTTGTGAAAACAGAGGAAAGAGTTAGGTCACTTCTGTGAATAAAGTTCCCTGAAAAAGCCGGAAAACAAACTGTTCTCTGGCTGTTTTTTCCGAGAACGACTGTAGATTGGTTTGCAGTAGATCATTCGTCTCTTCGAACACGTAGCTTTGACTGTGCTTGTTGACTTAACCCGCAAGTACTAAGTTGATCCTACTATCAATAGACATCAACTGAGAATGGCATTCATTACTGCGATCAGAATCAGACAGACCTAGTTGCTGGTGTGCAAAAGTAACACCCGGTTGGCAAACGAGTCAATAGTAGGCAGCTCTATCTCTGCTTCTCAGTAATTTGGTTTGGGATACCTAGTTAAGGAACATAAAGTGGGGATTGTTTCCTCAAGACTGGACCACAGCAGAACAAACCTGCTGAATGCGTTGTTACTAGGCAGGAAGGTGCTCGTACGAAGTATCCTACTGTCAGGTCTTACGGGAATATTGTCAATTCTGGTATGTTTGATGTGGTCACCGAACCGAACTATCAGGTCACCGCAGCTTATGCGGAGTTTACTGAATAGTCGAACAACAAGTCTTTCCGAGAAGTTCTTGCGATTGACTGCTGGGGCTTCAGCGGTCACTTGAGCGTATTGTTGCTAGTCTCTTAAAGAGAACTGCGATTCCACTTCGTTGGAATATCGGCCCAAAACTCTCCCGTTGTTCGAATTGTCTACTAGGTTTAACAAATACACAAATGGAGGTTTTCAAATCAGCAACTGATGAAAAAAGGCTGGATACAGATAATTTGGGCGAATTTTGGCCCTTATGTTGAATAAGTTGGGCGCTATGTAGTTTACTCAAATTATGGCAGTATTGGAATGAAGTTGTAAAAGTTCTGACGTTAACCTCTCCCAAGAATCCGCACAAGTATTCACCTTGTATCGATTCTGGAGAGGGACTACCCCCAGGTAACTGAAGACCTCCCATTTGTGTTATTGCTTACGTTGTGTTGGTTTTTGACAGCAAATATGCGAACGGACTGGACCGTTTACCATAGAATCTGCTGACGCGTCACAAGACCCTCCCCCTAATTTATTCTTATGTTGATCTGTTGGCGTCAGTATTGCAATGAAACAGGAACGTTTATTGGATAGAATACCATTAGCCTGCTCTATTCAGTGAGTCTGTGTCCATGAACGGGTAATCAGTCCATCAAACACGTTCTATCTTCACTAATTCGATTCAGGCGGTGTCTGCCGACTATAGGATAGGAAGACAAAGGCGTTGGTTCTCTCAACCCGTACAGTTTTGTCAAGTATGCCAGCTCATAATACACATAGCGGTGTTGCACATGCAATACTTCCGAACAGCGAAAAAAGTACTGCTCACTTTTGGCATTCTGGAGGGAGTCTGACAAAACGAATGATGGTGATCATTCCCAAAGGAATCCTCGCTTGCCCACCGTGAAACTGTTCACTGGGACGTGGTCGATTTTGTAGGGCATCTTTCAGGCTAGCTAAATGGTTGGCGTGACTGATTTGGAGTTCAGTCGGAAGATAATCATCCCTTAGATTTCGAAAATCTCTGGTTCCGAAACAAAAATCAGCAAAATCCAGTCAGCCCAGTTGTCCCCAACTATACCGCCTTTCAGATTATTCTCGGATTTTCATTTGAGGCGCCCTTGTTTAGTGTCAATTTCTTCAGTATGTCGCCGCGACCACAGAGATTCTGGTGGGTTGATTTTATTCACCTCTATTCTGTAATCAGGCGATTCAGCACCCAACGTGTAACTTCATTGTTCGTGAAGTATAGACGTCAATTTAAGTACAGTAAAAAGACAGTTCACAGAAGTTATTTGTGGCGTCTCATCCTCAGTTCCTTACTAGTCTGACAGCTACACATTTGTTGGTAGTGTGAGGAGATTTCAGAATTTTAGTGGGGCGTCTATTTGCAAGCAAGCCGATCTATGCTGGAGCAATTTTTTCGCAGGAACTACTCCGAATTCAGGCTATTTTGTTGGAACCCCTTTCAAAAAAAGCTGATATGAAGTTTCGGTCTGGACAAGCGGAATTCGCTCGCAAGCTGTTAAATTTCCGTTTCATACGGTTTCTTTATTGTTACATCACGGCACTGTAAGCCCCACGCAGGCGGAAACCAAAGTTGTCGTGCTGCCCGTTATTTTCTTTGGCTCTGTCACTATGTGTGGGTAGAACTCTCATAGAAACTTGAGTTATAGGAATCCCACCGAATGATAATTTTCTAGTGGTTGTGAAGTCGACAAAGCGGTCTCCTGACACAGTGGTACCAACTTCATCTCACACTATTCACCCTTTTTGGTGATATCACGGAAGATCATTCCAAGCTATGATACCCCAAAGCAACTGACCCGTAGCACCACGGAGATCACTCAAAAGTTGTTAGTGGTATTACTTTACTATCGTTGTCAGTTCGCGCCTAGAATTCAGGAGCACGAAATTGCAGCATGAACAAAATGTTTTTCACACTTTTTCCCTGGCTAGTGATAAGAAACGCGTTGGAGGACCGTATACGGCATCATTCTGCATGATTTTAGGCACCATTTGTCTTCGTTTCCTCGCTTTGCTCCGTAACAATCTTAAACTATGAATGGCGAGGGCAAAACGAAAAAAGTACACATTTAAAACATGGTCAACTCGAGAAAACGGGCGCACTTTGTATATCGAGCATCCAGGCTTTTAATATCAAGAGAAAAACAAATGACCCATTAGTGAATTTAACAAAATTAACCTGGAAACAATACGTTGTGTCTTTATCTGTATATGGTTTATAGCTCACTTTAGTGTCGACGGTGATGAGTAAATTGACTCCCGGTTTCATAGACTGTTGGCGACGGGAACCGCTTCTCGAACATTGGGTTGTTCAAAGAGGAACTTTTCTGTAGTATTTCTGATCCAGAAGTATCAGTTTAGTTTAAAAAAAAACGAGAACCTTGGAAAAAGACATTAAATGAAGTATCAGTTAGTAGAAAAAAAAATACGAACCTTGGAAAAAGACATTAAATAAGGCTCTCTTGACCAATCCGGAAGTGCTATCCCATAAATGCGGAAATTCATAGATATGATAGAATATTGATGAAAATGTAGTGTAGATGGTCGTTAGTTTGTTGGCTGCGCCGGTTTATCTCATTGCAAACGTTTCATCACCAGTCGGGGTACGTTGTTAGGAACGGAGTGGAGTTTACCGATGGGTCAGTGGTTGTGGAGTGAATGTTGGTTTTTGATGTTAAAATACGTGCTATTGACCTTCGATCACGAGTGGTTGTTTGGTCGGGTGGGCCCATCGGTTGGCACGCTACCTTGTGTTCTGACTGGCCGGCTGCCGTGTGATCTTCGGGGTTGGCTTCCCCGCTCTAGTACTCCGGCCAGTGTTGGAGTGACCTTTGTCGTCGACCGCACTGGGTTCGTGTTTCTGTTTTTTTTTCGACCCTATAATCGGCTGTCTTCAATAAATAACACTCATGAACTGCTCAATACTACGTTTGAATATACGAAATGAACAGTCTAGCCGGAAAGGAACAACAGACTGCCAATCTCGGACGTTTTGGTAAACCAAAAAGTGGATGGGACTCTGCAAACCTGTGTATACAGAAAAGCGACA